GTAAGTGTTCTTTTAAACTGTCCTCTGTGTCTTGCATCCGCTGCTTTTAGTCTAACTTTCTGATACTATATAATTATTACATTCAGGGGAAGCGCTAAACCTGTAGGGGTTAATGCAGCACCTGGGAGGAGGGGGATGGAAGGCATTCAAGCTTCATTCAAGGAACTGGAGCACAGGTCTAATTCCTTAGATCAAGAGCCCCTCACCAGCATCAAGGCACCTTCCTTGAGGGGGGTGGGGGGTTCAATATATATTTATTTTATTCTCTGCCCTGCGGCGCTCAATGACTCACGAGCTTACAACTTTTGCTAATTATTAATAATTATTCTAGTTTTATGTATTTTTTTGAGTTAAGCGACATGTAGATCACTGAATGTCTCAAACCATACCACGGTGGGATTTGAACCCGCGGTCAGAGAGTCTCAAAACTCTCTGACCGCGGGTTCAAATCCCGCCCGTGGTATGGTTTGTTTGCAGTCGTGTCATTACGATTTCGTGAGTCACTGAATGTCTCCTTACAATACTTCGTTGTTTCAGACTTTGATTGTGCAAACGTATTTATTACTCTGATTCTTTTCCTAGTGTAAGCAGCGAAATGGTCATAATTTGTATAGTTATAACCAAATGATTAATGCATATTTTGATTTAAATCATTACATAGGATTATTAGAAATCATTTATAATGATGCATATTTCACAAACATTTTCAAGCAACAACAGTGTCTTCCATATCCGAGTCTTTCATCGATTCTTTCATACCGTATCAGTGCTATTAATAGCAGATATTGAAGTTTACTCTACGTTACGTATCCACCAGGTTTTTGCTGACACGTTTAAACGACCTTGCTCGTTCTTCACCCTCTAGCTGTTGCCCCTGTCCCTATCAGGTGTTGCTGTTCCATAATCATTCGGTCTCGAGTAGCAACAAGACCTCGTCAAGTTTCTGTAATCTCGTGTTTTTCATCGTCTGACGCTCAACGTTGTTGGAAGTGTTCACTGAGGACTATCACGCCACAGTGACAGCCTGCCCACCAATTATCTCAATGATCCGTGTATCTTGATTACGATCTAGACTACATCACGAGGTACGCAACAGCGATATTGCTCTTTCGCTACTATCCAGAGAGAGCACGGAACAAGGAACACCTAACATTTCATATATCTCGCATACATTATATCTGAAGCTGCATGTAAACTAGCTCGACGAGGGAGATGTTTGGTTAACGCGAGTCTTTTTAATGAGGTGAAAGCACTTGTGGGAAGGTGAAGCTGATAAGACTTATCATACAGGTTATCGGAGGCTAAGGTCCCTCACCATTAAGTTATACAATGCTCATGTTTTTCCACTTAAGGGAACGCAAGAGTCCTCCGCTGCTTGAAATTGCTCCGGCGAATAAATTTAAAGCCGTCGCAACATCTGTGCATGCTGGAAAAAACGCTGGATACATTGGGATCACAGCATAAATGATCAGAATTAGATTCCTGGCGTTGAAACCTATGACGAATCTCCTCACATTTGCTACTTTTCTTCACTAGTAGTAAATAATCCAAGCTAATTTGTTTTTATAAGGCTAAATAACACTCCAATCCGACCTTTCTTTATGGAAAGGAGAGGGGGTTTTGATTTGAGGAATTGGAGCAACCTTCCCCTCCCTCAAATTAAACATGATTACATCCCATTCCCTAGGCATTGTGACCCCTACGGGCTTGGCGCACCTTGAATATAGGGATTCTTTGATCGGAAAATCCTTCTATCCCTCAAGTTCGCCAGTTTCCAATTTTTTGCTTCGTAAGCTGGATTTCACAACTCCAAAACCTCAGGGCGCCCTTAAGATCATTTAGATGCAGATAAAAGGCTGGCACTGCATATCCTGACAGGTCTGACCTCTGTCACATATATATACTCCTGAATGACTTAAGGTGTCCAAATGTAGTATTTAGGTTTGCTAGGAGCGCATACGAAAATGACACGCTTCAGTTGACGCAGAATTCTGGCGATATGCTAGATAAGATTTGCTCGGATTTTTAACCCGGACTGTTAGCCACCCAGGATAACTGAAGTGCGTGAGTCATCGAGGACTGTCTTATTTCAATTGGGATCCTTCAGTCTTGTCCCCCAGGATGCGACCCACACTTGTCGACTAACAACCAGGTACCTATTTACTCCTAGGTGAAAATGGACAGCAGATGTAAGGAAACATACCCAACATTTCCACCCGTACTGGGGACTGAACCACGGGTATTTACTTTACGTCTTTCATAGTTAGAAATTTACAGCCTAGCTTGTGCGGAATTCCAGTAACCATATGTTTGACCCATCACTGTAGTCTCTGCCATTATGGATTATTTTCCATCTCCTCCAATCTTAAGTCTATTAGTCTGACATCAACAATTATACATAAAATCGTATCTCTTCTGGCATGTCGTAAGGAACACTAACGATCCCAGTACCGACCCTTGAGAGGTTCCAGTCGTCACGTCTGCCCATCCCAGTGCGTCCTTGGGAATTGTGTCCAACTGTGGTAACGTCTCCTTCATTCCTGCTTGCTCTTCTGGTTTATTTACATCATTATCTGTTATGATACTTACATTCCAGGAATATTACCTCCAAGCTATTCATCCTCCGTTACCCTGTTGTAGAACTAATAGGTTCGTAAGAGGACTTTTCCCTTTAAAACCCCTTTTCTTGATGGCCTTTTACAAATTCACTTTTCTCAATATTCACCGTCTTTCATTTTATGGTATTTCTTTTCATTACCTTAGATAATATGCATGTCACCTTGTTTGATTATGGGAACTATTATCCATTAGCGATTTTCCGTCCTCTTAGTTAAATATCTTTATTATGCACCCCATACCCATCCTGTTGGAGGTAGTAGATAGATTACAGTGGTACGTAATGGGTCCAGGGACTGGGCCGCAGAGTTTTGATAGATGAACAAGTTACACTGGTAATGAACTATTTACATGTTTATATCAGTTCACAATCGTAACGAGATATTTATGCAGACATGAAATACGGCAGCTGCCCTATTTCCAGCGAGATTGAGCCAGCGGGATACATAGCGCTTGTGGAAAATTAAATATACCTGGATGTAACTCATAAGATACATACCAGTAAATGGTAACAAAGATAATAAATTCTTTATCAAGGTTACAGAGACAAGTAGGAATTTTAGAAAAACCTAGGCCGCAAAAAATGTCCTCCGATACCTACGATAATCTATCTCTCCACAAGTCACTCTGGACCTATATTAATTTCAGATGAAATATACGTCACCAGGAATTCTGGTAAAAACATTAACATAAATATGTGGACTGCATATTAAATTTAAAATGTAAATACATATACATTGAAGGAGAATTTATAATAATAAGACTCACCAACTAGTTTGGAGATTACGGTGTGTCATACACCCCCCTGCCTAAATTATGAAGAAAATACTGGCCAGAATTTCAACACAAAATAGACATGACTTAGCTGGGGTTCCAAAGCTGTCCTGTCCATCTGCTTAATGCTCACATTATGCACGACTGCAAATCCAACAATTTCGGCTCCTATTTGAGAGGTTTTAAGCCCAATATAACCCCTAGAGCGACGAAAATTCTTCCGATTTTCACTAACGTTTGTCTCGGTCAATTCAAAACATGGCGACTCCCCCCCCAGCGACGCTCACCCATTTCGCTGGTTCTTTATTTATTTACAAATTAATTTTTATTACCTACAATATATTCCATCAATTTACATACAAAATACACTGTATTTTTGGAGAATATACAGTATTTTCCACAGCGCTTCTGCTTCTTCTGGAACCCATGGTGATATTCTTCTACGTTACATTGTTTTTATTATGTACGTCTTGGAACCTTGTCGATTTTAAAAAATTTTGGAATGAAAACACTAAACCACAGCCGCATCTTTAAATTTTGGTCATCCATTTTAAACAAATACTGTATCGCGATGTATAAAAGTTATTTTAAAATTAAACTTAAGAATTTCTCTGCCTTGCCTTCTGCCACCTCCACAGCCACACCACCTGCTGAAGATCAAGATTCTCTCACCTCTGAGGAAGTCAACGACCCTCGACCCTCTTCCCACAACCCTTCCTCCGGTCTCACATGGAAAAATCTGAGATTCTTCACTACACCTACGAACGATGCCATCTGTGGCATTCATGGGGTTGAGCAATATTTCTAGCCTCCCCTGCTTGATTTAACACAGTCTGGAAAATGCAATAGGTTTCGCCTACGTGACTCGACACCTCAGTTTGGACTCCCAGTAGTATGAAAGGCATTAGTATTTCAAACAGAGGTTGTAGAAGTGAAAAATTTCTGCGATGTACAGTGTACATTTAAATTTTTAAACAAAACTGGATACATTATCAGCGTGCTGCTACCCTGTTCAATATAATTACACTGGAAACAAAAAGATATCTTTCCCTGTTATATTCCATGTCAAGTGGGGTGGTGAGCTCGTCTATGAGAGGGGATGAAGGCTGGGAGGGGAAAGAGTCCGTTTGTGTGAAGACACACTAGTAAACATGTGACATCTGTTCCACTGCCTGTGACATCATGCCACTGTGATATCCAACTGAAAATTCCCAAACAAACGGCGACAATGTAAAGACGACTGAAAAAAACAATTTCGATCATAAGAAGTTTTTGTATCTTTATCTAATCGCAAGTTATCGAATAATTACGGCACAAAGCATAATCTTCGACTGGCGATCATTTGTTTTCCATAATGATTCATTTTGTTTAATAAATCACTAAAAAACGAATTTTTTTTTACAGGAGATATATATAGAATTAAAAGTGCCAAGATAAACCAAGTCGAGACTTCATGAACATTTTTGTGTGCAAGTCTTAAACCTATTAATAAGAAGTACAGTAGATTTCCTAAATGTAGGAGTAACTTCGCTATTTTTTTTGTATAGCCAGATCGACAATGAAGATAACGCTGTGGAAGGCAAGTCTGGCCTGAATCACTGGTAGTAATCAGTAACTCGGTCTTCAACACTTTGCAACCTTCATCGCGCTCTCTTTCACTCCCTGGGTCCGTTCCCGGGAGGAAGTACGGTGTAGCTCGTGGTGTACTCTGGTTTTTTTTTGTTTGGGTCCTTAACCTAAAAAAAAAAAAAAAAAAAGACAAGAGGGACACGCCACAGCTCACTCGAGCATTGACTAGAAATCACTAATCAAGCCGCACCTATCTTCAAGTCTTTACTGTCTTACTGGAGTCCTCAGTCCTCAATACACGAGCCAAGAGAAACGAAGCTCAGTTTAAATTTAACACCCAGGAAAAATAAGCCCAGGTATCTGTTATCATTGCAGTAACTGGATGCACCAACTATTCTACCAAGATGATGTCACTGGTATGGATGTTGATGGGAACTCTGCTGGTCGGCGGCGCCAAGGTAAGGACACTATTGTAATAAAAAATCTTGAAATATAAAAAAAATAACCTGATTAAGAATTTCAGATTAAATTATACTATTTGAAATGCCAAACCCGTGTGAATTGTCCAGCTCAAGAAGTGACGTTGACTGGCTCCTCCGTCTGGAATGAGATCTCTCCGGCGAAATGTACAATTTTGCGCATGAGAGCAATAAAATCCTTAAGATTAAAACTCAAAAGTGGTACTAAATTTGGCAAAGGCTTGAATATTCTTTTTATGTAATAAATTTTAATTATATTGACTGGATGAACACAAAAAAAACTTGAATGCAAACTCAGTGGTGAATAAAATATATTCGAGGTAAGCTATGTTAATGCTTGCGCTGATTACTCTGAGCATCAGTCTATGACATAAGCCGGATGAATTTATTTGTACAATAACTTTGTATATGGGTTAAGGAATATACCACTCCTGATATAAATGCACTGGGAGTAGAAGTGTGGTTGCACAGGAGGTATGGTACACCTCTCAATCTCAATCTTCAGTCCCTACATTAGGCATTAAATTATTGTTGCGTGGTGATTTATAGACAAGGAGCGTAGTGTAGTCGGTATATTATGACTATTAAACCAAACAATTATTCTGGTGACTGATTCAGGTTTTGTTGAAAGAACAATTGACTGACGTGATAATCATATGACCAAAGTCTGAGTGATTAACAATCTTTGATATATATACCTGGAGGGAGTTTCGGGGGGGGGGGTCAGTGCCCCCGCGGCCAGGTCTGTGACTAGGCCTCCCGGTGTATCAGGACCTGATCAACCAGATATAAATATACAAGTCACCTATATGTATTATCCTTCATGGTATTCCTTGATAATGTGATTAATCTACCATGAAAGCACATTAAACTTGATTGCCTTTTACTGTGGTAAAATTACAATGGCCTCAACCAGTGAAACGGATAGATAATTTCTATAAAGAATGGTATACCATTGGTATATAAAAAAAGATATATTAATGACATTTTATAAAAAGCCCCTGGCTTATGCAGATCACTTCGGGCAGTTTTACAATAACTTTTAGTAAAGGCCTCGACCAATAACAAATACAAAAGTGACGCCAGACAAACACATCTTTAAACAACCAAACAACCAATGTCTTGAGTCCTAATTGAGAGAGATACTGTCAGAAGATAAGACAGTTTAGAGGTCGAAATAATTAACATTGAAGGTTTCCCAGACGAATATCTTGCATCAGCAGAGAGATAATGACATCTCCGCTCTCAGTAAAATCAATGAATGCTTGTAAATTGGTGTTACTAGGACTAACACTAAAAAAATATCTGGCCTTCAGAAATAAAGAGGTTACTTTTTCGAACGCATTTACTTGTCTATTTCTGAATGACCCAAGACGAGGCTAATAATAATAAAAGAAGATTTTCTTAGTTGGTTATTAATGCCTATCGGTTAATCTTAGAATATTAAATATCAAAGTACACACTCCTGAAACGGAAAACTGTTGGTTGTCAAAGTTTTGCAGAATTTCTAAGAATTCATCAGGACAAAAAAAAAAAGTTAAATGGAGTGGAAAAAATGCAAGGTTTTTAATAATATAATGATAACTTTATTTGCTATATGTACAGTGTATACAAGCCCCTTGCTACGCAGAGCATTTCGGGCAAATTAGGCCAATTTTGTCCTAGGGTGCGACCCACACCAGTCGACTAACACCCAGGTACCCATTTTACTGATGGGTAAACAGACAACCGGTGTAAGGAAACACGTCCGATGTTTCCACCCCATCGCCGGGAATCGAACCCGGACCCTAACCCTGTGAAGCGAGAGCTTTTGCCACCAGGCCCCGGGGCACCGTGGCATACGTTATGACAAACTTGGCGTATCTAAAGGAGCCTATTTGCTGGTGAAAATCTCCTGATCCCAGGAATTAGAGCTATAATACCCCAAACCCCCCCGCTTGTCGGATCAATCCTGATTATCCTCCCCTTCCCTATTCCGAGTGATCCCTACGGGTTTAGCTTCCCCCTACCCATTAAAAGAATCCAAAATGTGGCAGTGGCGACCCACAGTGGAAAGAAATTGGCTAATATAGATGAAATGTGTATAATGTAAAACAAATCTAAAACAATTCATTGATATAAGTAGCAGTACAGCACACGAAGACGAACTTTTTATTGGCACAACGTCTCCCTGTGTAAAAGTTTGATCAAATCAGGACATGATAAATCTCTTCGCTTGACGAAAAATCCCAAAATTTTAGTGTGTGTGTGTGTGTGTGTGTGTTTGTTCGCTTTTCATACTTGTCGGCAAAACGCTGTTTCATCCGTTGTATATCGTACGGCATTTGTTAAGAATTATATGTGGAATAACGCATGGTTAAGAAACGGCAGGTCGAACCTCGAGCCATAAAAGTTAGACAAAAACAATCACGAGGTGGTCGACACAGTGTTCTGCTGTACAAACTTGTTAATGTACAAATTCTTTCAGTACCTAGAGGTTCCACGAACTGTCACTACCTACGCTGTCCATACGGGTTTCTATTTTTTTTTTTCAGAAATCAATGTCCCTTTCCTCCTCTTGCCTTAGTTAAAATTATGACAGTTAACTCACTCACTCCCCATTCTTCAATTTTTAAAGGGTTGGAGGGGTAAGCCAGTGGAAGGCCTCGGAAGGCCAAAAGCTCCAGCTGTGGAACATCATTACTAAAACCCACGTCAGGAAACACTTGTCCTGTTTCCTGACGAACCTCACCTAACCTAACCTTTCCATCCTCCCCTCCCCCATCTCACTCTCAGCTCCCGTACCTGAATTTCAGCACTACAGAACCCAGCCTGTGTGATGGAATATGCCAGAGGAAAACATTGCTACATTATCTTCCCACTATGTATCCATCACACAGAATAAGGGAGTAGTAACACACTGTTGACGTATCCAATTATCCTTAAAAAATAAACTTCGTACCCTCTCACACATCCTTTCCATCCCACTGCCCCCTCATCCACCTCTCAACTCCAACCATCCCCTTCCCTATCTCCCTGTCTCTCATTTACGATAAAACATGCTGTCATCCCCTCGACCAAAGGTGAACATAGATAACTCAACAGTCACTTCATAATATAGCCTGTCGTGAACCTTATTCTCAACACCATATCCTATGACTGTCAGTGTCAGCTTAATATAATTAAAATGTTGATAATTATTGATCAAATTCTGCAAATCAGTTATCCCTTTCATCTGGAGTTTTGTCCACGTTATAGTAAACTAGACGGCATAAACATGTTGCTGTGTAATGTACAGTGGATGAATGGTGATCACTAGGCCTTCAGTAACTCTCACAGAAAAGGAATAAGATAAATCCGTGACTGGAACAATACACAAATAATTCGCATAGGAGGAAACTTATGACAACGTTTCGGTCCGACATGAGCCATTAACTAGCGAACGGTGACTAGTGAAGATAAGATTTCGTTTGGATTTTTAACCCATGAAAGGCAGTGCGTCATCGAGGACTGTCTCTTATTTCCATTGAGTTTCTCAACTTATTTCCATTACTGGTCCAAGTCGGACAGAAACCAAGTCATACGTTTCATTCTCCTCTTAAGCGGGTTTGTGTACCGTGGCATAAGAGTTCAATTGTTTCAAACAAATAATAACGATAGCAAAGCGAAGATTACTTAAAAAAAAAAAAAAAACCTTATCAACGTGTTTTCTCCAAATTGGATGGTCGTTTACACATTCTAACACTCGCACGTTTGAAGAATTATGTTGCTTTGTTTAGGTAGGTACTACTAGGTTAGTTAGGACAGACGTTTCCTGACGCTGGTCGTCACATGATGACCCACAGCTGGAGCTTTTTGTTATCTGCCCGAGGTATTCCGCTGGCTTATCGATCCACCCCCAATTTAAACCTTATGGTTATGATTATAACCAGTTATTTCCTTGCTGTGTGAGACAAGTTGTACAACACCTCTCGCGTCATGTAGTAAAACAGTGACGTTGACACAACAAGCCTAACTTATACGGATTTGTCTATAAATAACAAAAAAAGGCACAATACCGTGGCTGGAACGATACACAAATAACCCGCACATAGAAGAGAGGAGCTTACGACGACGTTTCGGTCCGACTTGGACCATTTACAAAGTCACAGTGTGATAAATTAGACACATGTGCAACTCTTGGGTATCTTTATTGAGGAAACGTTTCGCCACACAGTGGCTTCATCAGTCCATACAAAGGAGAATCTTGAAGAACAGGAGGAGAATGAGGTAATCAGTCCCTCAACCTTGAGTCGATGTGGTCAGTCCATCAATCACATCGACTCAAGGTTGAGGGACTGATTACCTCATTCTCCTCCTGTTCTTCAAGATTCTCCTTTGTATGGACTGATGAAGCCACTGTGTGGCGAAACGTTTCCTCAATAAAGATACCCAAGAGTTGCACATGTGTCTAATTTATCAACATGTCGGTTCTCTGAACCATTCATCTACAAAGTCACAGTGTGACTTTGTAAATGGTCCAAGTCGGACCGAAACGTCGTCGTAAGCTCCTCTCTTCTATGTGCGGGTTATTTGTGTACTGATTTGTCTCACTGTGAAATCTTTATCACGCATGTCCGGCATTGATTTTTTTTCCAAGACCTAAAGCACTACGAAGTTGTAAATATTTTTGTATTCTACGTTGCATTACATGAAGGTTAACTGACCTAAATTAACTTGGAGTTCACATGTGCCTATGGCAGTTCCTTGGTGCGTCGGTATTCCCACGCTCATTATTTTTATTAGGAGGATGAATTGCTTAAGAGTAATCTTCGATATCTGAACTTTCAAATACACAGAAATCATATCTCTTATTACCTTTGTAACTTGCTCAGCTATCAAAACTTTGGAGTCCAGTCCCTGGACCAATTATGTACCTCTGTAATCTTTTGACTACCGCCCACAGGATGGGTATGGGGTGCATAATAAACATATTAAACTAACAACTATTATTCCCGTTGTGCAACCATTACCACTGCAATAATTATAAAGGAAAGGCACACGCAAAGCATATATTATACCAGAGAGACATGGACGAATGCTGGAATGCCAGGTCTATATTGAGTATGCAACACCAGCCTGGAAACCCCCACACAAAAATCAGAGAAAGGATAAGATTCTCAACAAAAGTATTCCCGGAGCTAAGAGGAATGAGAAAGATACATTGAGCGAAGGGTACAAGGTGATCAGGAGACGATAAAGATGAAAATGGGTGAAAGGATTCCAGAAGTATTTTCTGAAGTCTGTAGGTAGTTGGGAAATAGAAAAATCTTAGCAAGGAAGTAGCGAAACCAGATTTCCTGCACAGTTTTAGGAATATGTAAAAAGGCCCAGGAGGCCAGGAATTTAGTGTGACAGTGAACAACTAAGGTGGAGTCAGGAGCTGTGACTCGACCCCTGCAACTACAGTATACTCACCTAACCCATTCTTACTCCCATTGTGGAAAATACTGTATATATTTTCCAGAAATTCAGTATTTATATGTAAATAGATGGCCATACTGTATTTAATAATATTTATGTCATAGAAAACGGAAAGCCTGCGTCTGCGCAGACGGGACTCGCCATCTTGGTTTTGAATTGGATACAACGTTAGTTCAATGGGAAGGAATTTTCGTGCTCTAGAGGTTAAAATTGGGCTGACACCTCTCAAATAGGAGGCGAAATTGTTGGATGTGCATTCCTGCATAATTTGAGTATCAGGCGACTGGACAACACAGCTCCAGGAACCTCAGATAAGTCTGTTTATGTTTAATTCTGGCCAGTAATTTCATAAATTTAGACAGTGAGGTTTTCTGGGTATAATACACATTAATCTCCAGTCAAATTGGCGAGTGATATTAAGATATATTTTCCTTCTGTTATGTAATTATGTACATATATATATATATATATATATATATATATATATATATATATATATATATATATATATATATATATATATATATATATATAACCATTCATTATTTTTAATATACAGTCCACAAATTTATATATTTACCAGTATTCCTGGTGTATGTATATTTCATTTAATTAATAGGTCAAGAGCAACTTGTGGATATGACAGTGGTAGGTATCGAAGGGGGACATTTTTTGCGACCTAGGTGTCCCAAATTCCTACATGTCTAACTGATAAATAATAATTATCTTTGTTCATTTACTGTTATGTATATAATGATACATTCAGCTAAATGCAATTTTCCACACCCATCCCAGGGCAGCGTCCCAGAAGAAGGGCAATGCATCTGGTACGACATTGGCCCTAAGAACCCTGAGAAACCGGACACATCTGGTATGACACTGAACACGATCTACAACGGGCCAGCCAAGCCCTTAACTGATGAGGTGGCCATCCAGCATCTCGATGACAACTGCCCCTTGTTGATGGATGAAATACGTGAGTACCTGGCTGTTTGTGAGGTTGGTGAGAGGTGATGTTTTTGATAACAGAAGGTGTTAGTGTAAGAGGAGATTTTGGTAAAAGGAAGCTAAGGAGGGCGTGTTAGAGAAGAGAAAGATGAGGGGGATGGGTTGTAAGAAAAAAGTGGGATATTGGTGAGAGGAGAAGGAAGGGAAGAAGTGTTGGAGGAAGAGGAATTTGATAGTAATGACAGGCGAATGGGGGAGGGGGTACATTTTTATTTAACATAGCTGAATACATTAACAATGTGCTGCTAACCTATTCTGTATGACAGTTACTTAATGGGTAAAAAAATGTTAGGTATGTTTCACTTTTGCATTCCATCACACAAGAAAATTTAATAGTGTTGAGATCTGTGAGCCTGAGCAGGGGAGACTTCAGTAGAAATGCGAGTATATCCTTAATAATTAAGTGATCAGCAGCTACTTCAGAAGTTCCTCTCCAGCAGGGCTGGAATTAGTCTCAGGATGACCTATCCTGGACACGAGATTTTATATTTTTTATGAAGATGTCTGCCACAAAGCAGGACGACAAGAATTATATTAGAGAAAGGATGAGGCTCCAGAGAGCAATTTGGACTAGAGTACGAACATATGACACCAATGCAGATTCATCGTTGCAAAAGCCTCTCGACATTTTAAAAGTACATTGTGCCTAAAATTACAAAGAATTAGCTAAGAGATGATAGGAGGAGACAGGATACTGGGAGTCCTAGGAAGGGCTTATTGTTGGATGAGGAGTGGCATTTTGTGAGGGAGGGGTGGCGTTGAATTTTTTAACATAAGTATTTTGGAAACCTTATACTCAACACTACAATACTTACAGCAGGTGCTGGAGGTTTATAAGAGTCTTCTGTAGACGCGACCCACAGCAGTTAACACGTGTACCTATTTTTAATGACGGAGTAGGCAAGGGAAGCCAGTGGGTAAGTAAACTTGTCTACATTTCTCTCTGCCAGGAAATCTAACCGGGGACCTTGTGACTTCGAGTTGAAAGTTCTCAGAGAGCTTTGCTGCACCCTTTTGGCGAATGATGATGATGATAATAGCAAAAGAAAGAATCAGGGGTTATCTAGGAGGAATTGGAGAAGGGAAGTGTCTGCGAGAGGAGATGAGGGTGTCACTGACTGATAATTGTGACATCCCTACAACGCAACAATCTGCAAGCGCTTACCTCGTTAATTTTGTCTCCTTCAGGAACTATGTACGACGGGGAGGTGCGAACGTGTTGCTCTCCCGAGAATATTGCATCCATGATAAAAGGGTTCAGCAACATGGACTACCTGGTAGATAAGTGCAAGGCCTGCAACCTTAATATGAAGATCAACTTCTGTTACTTCACCTGTCACCCAAGACACTCCAGTTTTCTCATCCCCACCATACTTTACCCGTGTAAGCAGAGAGAGAGAGAGAGAGAGAGAGAGAGAGAGAGAGAGAGAAAACGCAGAGAGAACGCAAAGAGAGAGAGAGAGAGAGTGAGAAAGAATGAACTTACCAAGCCATTAACTAGTCTTTATAACGTCATTGGGATTATATGTAGATTCCATTTCCGCGAGGAAAACACTGAAATAAGGTTATGGAAATTCTTTGATACAGGCTAGGCCGATTTTTTTATATTACATTTTAGAATGGAAGGTTTAGTTGCTAAGTTAGTTTTGAAGCAAAAGAAAGTAGATAAAATAACAACTATATTTCACGTCTTCCTCTGAAGTGTCTTAAGATGATCCAGTTATAGCAAACTGGTCATGATATACAGTGGAAAACGACTAAAACAATTCTTACAAACGGCAAATAAGTCTTAAATAAATACTTTTTCAGCATGACCCTAATAGGATAATTTACTGGGATAATTAATGACAATTAAATGTCATTTGATGAGACATTTTGAGCAAAGTCGTTATTGCTTTAAAAAATAATGAATTTTCTTGCTAAGGTATTTGAGGTGATGTACAGCAATAATGTGATCTTAACAGGTTTCACAAGGTAGAGTTAGGCAAGACAGCAGCAGTACTGGAGAAACTTTTCTGAACCAGAGCTGATAGACAGAGACCATCAGATATGTAACAACGATACCGGGTCCAAACATAACACTAGTTCATAAGATGACCCTCTTCACTGTTACGCCTATATAAATTTCTTTCTTCTACATATCTTTCATCCATTTTCGGTCATTTATATTCAATGTTATAACCCCATAAGGAATATACGCATTTTGGGCAGCATGTGATAATTCTGAGCTCTAATGGTCTCGTGGCATACCCAAAGATGAAATGAAGGCACCTAGCATATTGGATTAAAATCAAATGCTATATTCCAGTTGAGGTGCACACAAGTTAGTAGCATGTTTGTTTTGTTATTACTGAGATTAAGGATGGAACCTCCTTTAATTTTGTTGAATGACCTACATGGAGAGTGAGAGCCCCCACCACTTGTCCTAAACGACTTACAGGTTCAACGCTTCACAAATATTAAGTCTCAGTTACGTATATTCTCGAGTATATTGGCGCCATTTGGACAATCGTGTGTGTACTTTCAGCCAAGGAGGAGCCTGAGGCGATATGGGCCTTGAATTACTACATCCATCCCCACTACACCAGCACCACCTATGACTCCTGCAAGAATGTCTACTCCACCGAGGTTAATATGCCCGCTGTGGTGATGATGTGTGGCAATGCTGGGTCCAACTGTGATCCCGTCAGGTGAGCATGGAAGGGAAAAAGGTGCAGTGGCAGGGCAAACAGCAGGGAAGTGTTAGAGGAGAGAGGCAAAGTAGGAGGGAGGGGGAAAAGAAGGATCAGGATTCAGTTTTGATCCTGTGAGGGAAGAGAATTTGACAGTGGATATAATTTACATAAAACATACATCAATACCATATTTTATGAACACACACACACACACACTACGCCATACCATTAAGAAAGGAGACAGGCAGGTAGCATTAAGATCTCTCAGAAGCGTTGTTTCGTGCATGAGCTGTAACGCTTCAGACGTTATACGGACAATGAGGAACTAATCTGTTTCAGCATTACTTTTGATTACAGTCGTTTGTCTACCCTTACTTCCAGGTTGTTCAACTATCTTGGTAACAATGATTTTGCTCCCTTCAACATCACGTACATTTTTGGCGAGTCTCCCGTAGAGGATGTCGTCAACCCTGAAGACGACAAGTTTCAAACCATGACGCCTTTCGATCAGGACACATCCGAGTGTAACTCGACGGTGAGCATCTCCGTGATACTTTATTATCCTTTACAACCTTAAACATCTATAGCACCTTATTACCCCGTACTTCCCTCTTAACTATTTCCAATCTTCCCTTAGTAACAATTATCCATTTTTTAATATCTTTATTCACTTTTAACTTTAAAGTATACCTATACTTCGTTCCTTCCCTTTCCCCAATGTCTTTTTTTTAGCCTCTTTCTTTCTGCTGTGGCCAACTCTCGCTTTCTCTTCACTCTTTCCATTTCTAAGTTGCACTCTACTGCACCAAGACTATTTCCTTCTCTCTGAATCTCACTATTTTCCTCTCTCCGTGTGTCTGTATCTTCTTCCCCTCTCTCTCTCCTTCATTTCTTATACATACATATACATACTCTACTTCCAGGATCCCGCCCTGCGGTGCTTGTGTTCAGACTGTCGTGAGTCATGTCCAGACATACCACAGTTCGACACTGGCAGTAAACCTTGGCCCATGGTGGGCTCACTGGACGTCTTATCCTTCTGCATGGCCATCCTTTACTGCGTGTTAGGGCGTCGTTATCATCGTCTCCGCCTGCTTCTGGCACCGTCGAAAATCAGGTGAGGGAAACTCGGAGTTAGGAATAATAGGGAAGAGAGGGTGATGGTAGAATGTACCCCCTTCCCCCCATGGCTACCCTATTTTATTCGATTCCTAAATTTTGTTAACACCCGTAGTGTTGGGCCCACACCATTATATATGATGCTTACCATTAAGTGAAGACTCACTGGAGCTGGAAGACTTTAGTATGGCAAAGAGGATATCCAGCATTCCACTATAGGTTTCTTGGATACTAAAGTTTCAGAGGTTTCCTTCCAATTGGTCTTCATTTGCTGTTACAGGAGACATATCCTTTCTCTGGATGTCTTCTTCCGCAACAGGCGAGGTGATGGAGGGGAAAGTGAGTGGATGATGAGGGAGAGAAAATGGGGAATACATCTTTCGTCAATGAAACAGGAAAAAAAAAAAAAAAACTTTAGGATAATTGCAGCACCTTCAGATTTCGTGCCTGGGGTTTATTATACCGAGGTTATACTAATGCAAGGGCTCTGCGTGGTTAAGTCTTCTTGGAGGTATCCCCTCAGGGAAGGTTCCTTGATGTTGGTGAGGGGCTCTTGATTTAGGGAATTGGATCTGTGCTCCAGTTCCCCGAATTAAGCCTGAATGCCTTCCACATCCTCCCCCCAGGCGCTGTATAATCCTCCGGGTTTAGCGCTTCCCCCTTGATTATAATAATAATTCTTGGAGGTATGTGAACAGTACGTCACACACTCCCGGGAATTATTATATCAATTTGACTTTTCTTACAAATCTGAGAAATCAACTCATAATGAACTGCAGACTCCTATAATAAATTTGGCCCTTTTATTTATATCAGTCACGCATGTTTGCAACTTTAATCCCTCTTCATTGAGAAAACAGATTAGGTCATTTTTTTTTTTTTGCTTTGCAGACACACACGCTCCCCATGGATCTCCGAGCTGCCTGGAGGTGCTCTCAGCTGGAATAGAAAAGGGTATCAAGGTGGTGTTCGCAAAACTTGCTAGAAGTAAGTCTCCCAGCTGATGTTTGTCGTTACTGTTTTGTTAAATATTCTTTTCATGTTAAGTATTCTTTTCTTAAATATTCTTTTCTTAAATATTCTTTTCTTAAATATTCTTTTCTTAAATATTCTTTTCTTAAATATTAATTTTGTCAAGTATTATCATACAGCGTGCCATTTTTCACGTACAAGCCAGTACACATGCGGCTGAAGGTAGGTTGTCCATTCTTTTTGCCAGTCTTCACTGTTAGTGTTACCGTCAGTGTAAGCAATGCCACTCCTGACACGGTAGGTGGCCCGGTGGCTAAAGCTCCCGCTTCACACACGGAGGGCCCGGGTTCGATTCCCGGCGGGTGGAAACATTTCGACACGTTTCCTTACACCTGTTGTCCTGTTCACCTAGCAGCAAATAGGTTCCTGGGTGTTAGTCGACTGGTGTGGGTCCGCATCCTGGGGGACAAGATTAAGGACCCCAATGGAAATAAGTTAGACAGTCCTCGATGACGCACTGACTTTCTTGAGTTATCCTGGGTGACTAACCCTCCGGGTTTAAAAATCCGAACGAAATCTTATCTTATCTACCTTCTTTGAGTGTGTCGAGCCCAATCAGAAACCAACACTTTGCGCTCATGATTCGATGTAACCAGAAATGGACAGCAAAGCGTTCCACTCAGGTTCCGGTATACAAAAAGATTCACGGAACGGGTGGTGTTTGAATGCCACGGGTTCAAACCACACCCGCTCCATGGTTTGAATTCGAGTAATTACGATTTCGTGAGTCTCGAAGCTGTATCCAGTTCCATCTGCTTATCATAATGTTCACTGGCTTTGCATCACCTTTTTTTTTCGTTTTTCTCCCTCAGTTGTGGCGCGGCATCCTTATCCATTCCTGCTTATGGGTGTTGCCATCGTCACCGGCTTGGGAGTGGGTGTGACCTACCTGAAAGTAAGATCATACTCACCTATTTGTACTCGCCTATTTGTGGCTGCAGGGGTCGATTCATAGCTCCTGGCCCCCGCCTCTTTGCTGGTCGCTACTAGGTCCAATCTCTCTGCTCCATGAGCTGTGTTAATGGTGGTAGAATTACCGACAATATGTTAAGTAAAAGGAAAAGTGCAACTAATGAGACATTTTGTGATATTAATTGCGCTTGTGTCCTTTTATTTATCGTATCCCTTCTTAAAGCTATGTGTGAATCCTGCCTCCACTAAGTCATTCTTCAGGCTGTTCCACTTCCTGACAACTATGATTGAAGTACTTCCTAACATCCCTGTGATTCTTCTGAGTTTTCAACTTCCAGCTGTGACCCCTTGTTGCTATGTTTTATCTCTGAAACATCCTGTCCCTATCCACCTTGTCAATTCCTCTCAGTATTTTATATGTTATCATGTCCCCCTATCCCTCCTGTCCTCCAGTGTTGTCAGGCTGAGTCCCTTAACCTCTTCTGAGAGGGCATACCCCCTAGCTCTGAAACTAGTTTTGTTGCAAACCTTTTCACTCTAATTTTGATACGTGTTTGACCAGGTGTGGGTTCCATGATACAACCGAAGTTATCTAAAATGGAAAATAAAGAATACTCGGCCTACTTACACAGATGCACTCTTCTTTGTATATACTCTTATCAGTAGGTTAACAACAGACATATGCCATTTAGCCATATGTCTTAACCTGTACTATAATTTACGCTTACCTCTTCCAGGCGATATAGACACCGAGTTTTCTTCAGTCCATATTTTACGGTTTAAAGAAGCCTTGACTGATGGTGTCAAGTTTACATGAAGGCTTACTGGCCATCGTGTGGTCGATGTGGTTTAAAATCAATAAACTGCTTCCAGGTGACGACAGATCCGGTACAACTGTGGGCCTCTCCGACCTCGCGAAGTCGTCTGGACAAAGAATACTTCGACTCCCACTTCAATCCGTTCTACAGGACTACTCAGCTCATCATCACTCCAAAGGGATACGACTATGTAAGCTGGGGACACGAAGACAGGGTGGGGGGAAGAGGGGGGAACCTGGAGCAAATATAGGTCTTGGCTGGGATAGGGAATCCTTGGGCAGGGATAGAGGGAGCCCTGGGACAAGGATAGATGGAACTCCTAGGACAAAGACAAATTTTTGGAGGAAATCTAGGAACAAGGGTAGAGAGTTCCAGAGATTCTCTTAGCTAAGATAAGAGAAAAACCCAGAGCAATTTCACGTCTACAGCGTAATTTTATAACTAATTAAATGAATATACTTTTTTCCCCTTAGTTCAACTTTACTCTCGTTGACAAGACGTCAGGGATTCCTGTGAATTACCTATTTGGACCAGCGCTGAACGAGACCTTCGTAACGAAGGTGATGGAACTTCAAACCAAAATCACCAACGTAAGTCACGTCTCCTGTTCTTAGTCTCTTTCTTCCTACTTTCCATGCTATTCCTCATCTCATTTTCCGCCCCTTCCCCCCTCCCTTTATTCTGCGCACTCAAGGTTAGCTCTGTTTCCCAACTTGTTTTTCATTTTTTCTAACATTCCTACCATTATTGACGACTAACCTTGGCTATGGACTGTTTGATGAACTCCTCTCTCAGTGATACAGTTTATCTACTCAAGAACAAAAAGGCACAATACTGTGACTGGAACAATACACAAATAACCCGCACATAGGAGAGAGAATTGTTATTATTATAACCAAAAAGAAACACTAAACCACAAGGACTATACAGCATATAGGAGAGAGGAGCTTACGACGACGTTTCGGTCCGAGTTGGACCTATGTGCGGGTTATTAAACCATACCACGGGCGGGATTTGAACCCGCGGTCAGAGTCTCAAAACTCCAGACCGTCGCGGTTTGTTTGCAATCGTGTCATTACGATTTCGTGAGTCATGCGGGTTATTTTTGTATCTACTTAGTCAGTTCTTGTCCTTTAGAGACAACTTCAAGTGTCCTAGGTGATATTTTTCAACCAACTCTTTCCAGCTGACGGCGGAGAGCAGCGAGGGCACCATCACCTTGAAGGACGTGTGTGTGCAGCCTATGGCGCCCCAGACACCAGAATGCTTGATACAAAGTATCCTTAATTACTGGCAGAACGACCCAGAAAAATTCGAGGAGAGCATCGCCCAAGGCGACTACGCTACGCATCTCATCAACTGCTTGAAGTGAGTTACAGTAGTTCGTGTAGGTGGTTTTTCTAGTGCTGGTTAACTAATACTTCTCTGAAACGGATATGATGCAGGCCGGACGCCAGATATAGCCGATTAAAAACAACGGCAAAATTATAGGTTTTTAAATAAAACAATTTGTACTGAAGTAATTCGCCAAGATATAATCTAGTAATACTGGTGTTACTTTCAATTATTCACGGAAAAAATTAAGTCGTGTGGTGACCTGTACTTAACTCAGTGGTGACCTGTACTTAACTCAGTGGTGACCTGTACTTAACTCAGTGGTGACCTGTACTTAACTCTGTGAAGAAGTGTCTTGTGTGGCAATATAAACACAAATGCAGTATAATGTGATCCTTTATTGACTACGTTTCGCCCACACAGTGGGCTTTTTCAAGTCACAAACAGAACTACCTGGGGTACGAACGAACGAACGAAAGTTCAGGTAAGATCCCAAATGGGATGAGCGGGGAAGACGGGACAGACGAAGAATAGTGCTGGAGAGGAGTGTTCTTAGTCGTAGAAATAGAGCCAGGGCTTAACCCAGCAGCAAAGGCGATCGTGGGACAGATATTGAAAAGAGAAATTCCGGTTCTTCTGTTGGGACTCCGGTGGGGTGAGCTGGGAGTAAGGGACTTGCGACGTTTAGAGCTAGAGAGGAGTGCAGAACCCAAAAAAGCTAAGGCGAACGTGGGTCAGAGAATGGTACCTGTCTTAGAAGGTACCTGTCAGCGGATCCAAGGTTATTTGTAAGTAGGGTTAGGAGCAGGATCATGCAAGGAGTAGAAAAGGTTGTGTTGGTTTGTGGGTCTGCGAATGTCTTCGTCAAGGAGAGAGGTCCAGTAGTCATGTCGTGTCTCAAGTTTGTCTATCTGTCTGTCACTGAGCCTCTTCCAGTACAGATACCTGGGGTGGAAGGAACGCGAGTATTTATAGTCCGGCTGAGGTCAGGTGAAGAATGCTGCATCTGATGATGTACCGAGTTGGGTTGTAGAGTCTAAAAACTTGGGTAGCTTGGAAAGGAGACTGGACAAGTTTGTGAGCAGACCTTCTACAGTGTTCTTATGTGGGATAGCGATGAAGAAGTTTCTTGGCAAGTGGTTCAGCTATGTTATAGAAGCCACTATTCTGGTTGAAGTTGTCGGATATAGAAATAAGTGATGATTCCAGGATTCTTCGGTATTGAGTGTTGTCTTCTGTGGCGATAAGTCTTGAGTTTCTGTAGTTTATCAAGTGGTTGTGTGAATTACGGTGTTGTACGCAGGCATTCCTTGTGTCGTCAGACCTGCTTGCGTATTGGTGTTCTGAAATACGTGTTTGGAGGTCCCTTGATGTTTCGCCCACGTATAACTTGTTGCAGTCATTACAAGGGATTATGTATACCCCTGCAGAGGATGGAGGCTTGTCCTGCTTACTACTGGTGATGTCCTTGATGGTCGTGGTTGTGGAGGTAGATACTTGGAATGATGTTTTGGCAAAGATGTTGGAAACATGTTTGGCAATGGAGTTGGTGGGAAGGACTATGTATCTCTTCTCGGCAGTGTCTTCTCTGGGTGTGTTGAAGATGTTTAATGCTCGCCGTCTGCAGTCTCTGATGAAGTGACGAGGATAGTGGAGTTTAGAAAATACCTGTTCAATTATAGTGCATTCTTCCTCAAGGAACTCGTTGCTGCAGATTCTGAGTGCACGCAGGAAGAAGCCTATAATTACACCACGTTTGGTTTTGGTGTCGTGGTGAGAGTAGAAGTGGAGAAGATCGTTTTGGTTGGTGGGTTTTCGATAGACTTTAAAACGAAGTTCGTGGTCAGCTTTGCAGAGTAGAACATCAAGGAAAGGAAGAGTGTTGTCGACCTCTTCTTCAAGTGTGAACTGGATTGAAGGCTCGACCTGGTTGAGCTTGTCTTGGAGAGCTTGAACGTTGAAGCGTTTAGGAGTTATGAGGAGAATGTCGTCAACATAACGGAGCCAGGTGACAGACGAAGGAATAATGGTGGAGAAACGTTCGGCTTCTAGATGTTCCATGTATAGGTTCGCTAGGACTGCACTGAGTGGCGAACCCATGGGTAGTCCAAAAGTCTGCTGAAAGAGGTGATTTTCAAAAGAGAAACACGTAAAGCCAACACATAGTTCAACCAGGTCGATGAAGTCGCTGGCTGGAATGGGAAGATCAAGTGAATCGTCAATTTTCTTGCGCAAGAGATCGATGGCTTGTTTAGTAGGTACTTTAGTGAACAGGGAAGTCACGTCAAGGCTGGAAAGTTTCTTGTTCCTGATGTTGATGTTGCGAATGCGATTGAGAAGATCACCTGAGTGTTTGAGATGTGCTGGACTGATAGTGCCCAAGAGTTTCGAGAGGTGTTTGGCGAGAATTCCTGAGAGCTTGTGGGGAAGACACTGCCGAGAAGAGATACATAGTCCTTCCCACCAACTCCATTGCCAAACATGTTTCCAACATCTTTGCCAAAACATCATTCCAAGTATCTACCTCCACAACCACGACCATCAAGGACATCACCAGTAGTAAGCAGGACAAGCCTCCATCCTCTGCAGGGGTATACATAATCCCTTGTAATGACTGCAACAAGTTATACGTGGGCGAAACATCAAGGGACCTCCAAACACGTATTTCAGAACACCAATACGCAAGCAGGTCTGACGACACAAGGAATGCCTGCGTACAACACCGTAATTCACACAACCACTTGATAAACTACAGAAACTCAAGACTTATCGCCACAGAAGACAACACTCAATACCGAAGAATCCTGGAATCATCACTTATTTCTATATCCGACAACTTCAACCAGAATAGTGGCTTCTATAACATAGCTGAACCACTTGCCAAGAAACTTCTTCATCGCTATCCCACATAAGAACACTGTAGAAGGTCTGCTCACAAACTTGTCCAGTCTCCTTTCCAAGCTACCCAAGTTTTTAGACTCTACAACCCAACTCGGTACATCATCAGATGCAGCATTCTTCACCTGACCTCAGCCGGACTATAAATACTCGCGTTCCTTCCACCCCAGGTAGTTCTGTTTGTGACTTGAAAAAGCCCACTGTGTGGGCGAAACGTAGTCAATAAAGGATCACATTATACTGCATTTGTGTTTATATTGCCATTGTGTCGGTATTTTATATCATTTATTTCCAAAGTGTCTTGTGTGCTCCCATGGACTGAACCAAGATGCCCTCCATCGAGCAACTTTACCAGCACCTTAAGGAAGAATTGAGGGTAGCGAAGATGGAGATACGGCGATTGACCGAGGAAAACAAGAGGATTCGTAGTAGTCCTCCTGTTTCGAGTCCTCAGGTCAAGAAGGGATCGTGGTCAGTGGCTGGACAGCAGGGGACGACGAAGTTGACGATCAAGAAGACGAATGGAAAGCCAGAAACGATGAAGAAGAAAGACTGCTGTGGAAACTCCTGTAGAAACCTCCAACGCATTCTCGGTGCTACCCGACGAATGTGAGTCGACTACTGGGATCGTCACGACGAACGACAACAAGGAAGGTAAGAATATTGTTGTTGTTGGGGATAGCCAGGTTAGATACATGGATAGGGCATTCTGCTTGAAGGACAGGAGTAGGAGACAGAGGGTTTGCTTTCCTGGGGCTGGGATGGAGGACATTGTTAGCCGGCTTGACAACATCATGAACGGTAATGGGATCAATCCTATTATTTGCCTCAGTGCTGGAGGCAATGATGTAGGCAAGCGTAGAAATGAGGATTTAGTTAGAAAGTTCAGGGCAGCTATAGACATAATTAGGAAGAATGGGGGGCGCCCTGTTATATGTGGCATTTTGCCAGGAGCTTGATAAAGCTCCTGCAGAGCGAAACGTTGCCACAATAAATGTCACATTAGTTGCACTTGTGTCCTTTTACTTTACATATTGTCGGTAATTCTACCAACTTTATTACAGTCCCCTTACTACAGGTTGGATATAGACTCATTAGAGAACATACAGAGAAGAACGACTAAAATGATTTACTGTGTAAGGAACCTCTCCACTCTGGAGAAGCGTAGAATGAGGGGAGATATCATTGAAGTGTATAAGTGGATGACGGGCATAAACAAGGGAGATATTAATAAAGTACTGAGGGTGTCGAACCAGGTAAAAACCAGGAATAATGGATTTAAGTTGGATAAATTTAGATTTAGAAAGGACATAGGTAAGTACTGGTTTTCTAACAGAGTTGTAGATGCGTGGAACAGTCTTCCCAGTGGGGTGATAGAGGCTAGGACCTTGGGTAGCTTTAAGAAGAGACTGGACAAATATATGAGTGGGAGGGGCTGGGTTTGATTGGTGTCATTGGGTACGGGAGTTATTTCTAGGGAAGCTTTAGGTAGTAGTAGTTTTGATAAGGACCTGCCTTGCATGGGCCAGTAGGCCTTCTGCAGTGTTCCTCCATTCTTATGTTCTTATGTTCTTAAATGCGAATATGTATTGTAACTTCGCCAGAAGACGGAAGAATGTCCAAGCAAGATCATGCAGCGATATTCAGTTATTTTCTTATGATGATGTCACATGAGAGTGTAATCAAACGCAAGCCATTTCCCCCCCCCCCCCCTTAACTCTCACAAACTGCAAGTCAACAACATGGAGGGGCTCGACCGGAGTGAGGATAGACGGTGTTTACCTACTTCCCTCATCCCAGGTGCAAATCACTTGCAAATAACTTCTAGCTAATTCTCGCATTCTCGCTAATAGTTCCATTTTTTAATTTGTATAGGTACAGTTCTTTGCGCTAACAAAGTGTAAATTAGCAAGTTCACACAAATTGCCAAGCGGCAGCGACTCTTAACACGCTCACGAACATTCACTGGAACAAGCATGATACTGTTACCACATATGAATTAATACACAAGATTATACAAAGACGTATTGCAGCTACACAAGACGTATTGCAGCTATACAAGACGTATTGCAGCTATACAAGACGTATTGCAATTAGATGAAGTATCAAGTACGGCGAGCCTGATGATTTTTCTTTGCGCTCCATGGTTATAATCAACTTAAGCACTAAGCCCGTAAGGGTCATGCAGCGACGTATGGCGAAAGCAATCTAAGTCACTTTAATATTGGGAGATGTAAAATCGAAAGTTTACTTAGAAGTTGGAAAGTTAAAATGCGATAGCAATATCTAGACTCATGAAATCGTGGGTTCTAACCCCAACCGTACCGTGGGTTAATTATTCTATTATAAGAAAAAAATCTAAAGACTACAATGACTTTCGTAAATCCCTAAATTAGCTGATAAATTTATAACTTATCTCAGAAAATGAGGAGAATGATGCAGTTAGCAGTCGTCAATAAATGTCCTAGGCAGGACTACTTGCTTGGTTTACGGCACACAGGTAAACCCCAGCCAAGAATACTTTAAATTCCTAAAGCGAGTATTAAAGTGAAGTCTCGGCGTATATACGCAGAGAGAAATAGACCTGTCGGCGTATACACTAATTTATCACACACACACACACACACGCGTGTCCTGCGTCAGAGCTCTCGCTCACCTCTCACAACTGTCCAGGTTTACACTACCATTACCATGGTCAAGGTTTTCTCTGCTGCCTTGCGCAATCGCGTCAGCGCAGCTGACACCTGCTTACCAGCGAAACAAGTTCTTACAACACTCGTACATAAAGTTAGAGTTTATCATTCAGTATGATATAGTTCTTTAACGCATGAAAAAAAGAATTTAATATAAAAAAATAGTTAAATTTGACGACAACCACGTTCACGATCGTTCACTCGCATTCACGATCGTTCACCTACAGTTATGTGATGTTAACATACGCTGGAAGGGCCTAACCAATATAATCCTTAAACACGAAGGAGAGGACATACAGTTTTGAATCTTGTTCGACCTTGTATACAGCAAGAAGACAGAGACACACGACACAGCGCTTCAGAAATGGATGACACTTAGGTTCGAGTCCCCAAAGGGGAGGCTAGATTCAGTTTCTTGGATCAAAAGCCCCTCACCCGTATCTAGAAATCTCTCTCTTGTGGACGGGGGGGGGGGGGGGGGTTCTCTTAGCGCTTCCTATGAAGCGCTAAGAGAACCCTGCATTTATAGCGGAACAAACATGCCAGACAAGTACTCCTTGTCTGGCATGTTTGTTCCCTTTATGCAGTCTCTAGACTTTTAGTTATGATTAATAATAATGATGTTCTATATAATAGCGTGAGCTTATGTTAAGGAAAATCTGAAGATCAGATCTACCATGCTTCAGATTCTTGAAAGACCACGTTGTGCTCTTCAGCTCAGGGTGGAGGGACTGATTCCCAATCTTTTGTAAAGTTCTACATTCTTCACATTATGCCCTTGTATTTATGAAGTCTCTGGTGCGAAACGTTACATATAAAGATACCCAGATATGCACAGTGTCAAATTCTTCACTTGTTATATTAAAATACCATTCATCGTACAGTTCTATTTATGTATAATTGATTCTTTAACTTATAAGCAAACTTACTTTCCCGAAAGAGATGACTCTCTCTGATTTATTTCCAGTGATATTTCTAGAAGATTTCTAACTTGCTTCTTCGTAATTAGTAACAGGAACCTTATTAATTTGATATGTTTTGGAAGCCTGCAACCGATGGCCACACTGTGCTGCCAGAGAGTCAAGTAAAATTTTAGACTTTTGTGAGATTGAACAATACGAAGTGGTTTAACGTGTATTGGACGTGACACAGTGCAGAACTGCACGGGAATCGACCTAATTTGGGAATTGCGCGGAAACGATTTTCACGAAGTCCCTTCTCACCAAGTAGTTAACAATAATATATTAAATATAATAGCTTATTTTCACAAGTAATGATAAACTTCCAGACGTAGCTGACATCGTGAATACTAAATTAGAAAGCATGTTATACAGAGCATTACGGCGACTTTTTAAATTTTGTCCCCCTCAGAGGGCGAACGACACAGTAGGCTAAACACCCAGATACTGGCAGGTGACAGGACAGGTTGTCATTTAGGAAAACGCCCAATGTTTTCACTGTACCGGGGATCGAACACGGATCTCATGTGTGAACTGAGTATCATAAGATTTACTTTTAACTTGTCCCAAATTCTTTCGCGCAATCCTTCAAGTGTGACAGGTACTTACTGCATGGGGTCCTATGGTGGTCTGTTTTCCTTACACGCTCTGGAGCTTCTCAAGGCAGGCGAGTTTATCTTCGAGAATCATGTACACGGAAGCACCGCTTTGTCATCACAATCTCATCAACACTACTGGACACGGAAGAAACTTGCCCAGCTCTGCCTTGGAGAAAAAGTGAGTAATGCTCCACTGCTGATTTAAATTCTTTAATTATTTAATCATAACAGATTTTTTAAGAGGTGGATGGTATAACGGGGATCTCGTCAGATGACACAAGCTCAAGGATAAGTGTTCCCAGACCGCGTCGGGAACACTGTCCTGTTTCTTGGCAAATTACTGATACTACCTACCACTTCTACAGTTGTGGATGGAAGGTGAGACCTCATATTACTCTCTGTTGTGATGTAAAGCATGAGTATCCCCTACACTTCTGAAGCAAAATGTAAAATATAAATTTGGTATATCTACGCTAGCATTATTAATAGTATAAGGAGAAAGGGGATGTCATATGATTGCAGGTTAAAACCTGAGTAGATCTATAACTATGATAACATGAAGTTAGATAAATATTGTATATATATGGAGCAACTTGCAATGTGAACAGACTGACCGATGTTGTAGTAGCCAGACTTAGGGTTACAAGTGCTTCTGGCAGTTTGGCTGACACACAGATGATGATCAAATTAATTGCAAAGTATGTAGTCAGCCTTAAGTTAACTTTCTTGTACACTTTATGCTTCAGTGTCCACTTGGTGAGGAAACTAGAGATAAACAGCATAATAACGTATGTGATAATATATCACACATCAGCCGGGCTGTGGTTCGTACGTTGGACTGCGTGCGGCCAGCAGTAACAGCTGGTTGATCAGGCCTGATCCACGGAGCTGGTCATGGACGGGCCGCGGGGGCGTTGATCCCCGGATAACCTCCAGGTGACTCCAGGTAGATAAGCTATCCTAATTGCTTGCAGAGCTAAGACAGTTGTATATATAAATCTACATGTACTCATGTAAGCCCTTTTGGGGCCTAGTTCCAAGGCTTTTGGTGTATCCATATGTTCTTGTGCTACCCTCCATGGGATGGATATGGGATGCACAATAAACTAGCAGCTTCGGGGGGAAATCAAAGTTTCGTGTGGTAGGAAACCGAATACCTGGCTTCATGTGGCAGGGACTTCATAACAGATTGCTTACTTTACGGAAAGCGTTAAATCCGCATGGGGTCATTCAGAATGAGCGTTAAAGGCTCGATCGCATGTCCGCTGAGCCACGCTCCTTGCGCCAACTCACTCGCCTGGTGTTTCGGCGGTCAATGCCTCCCCCCCTTGCCTGTCTGTGGCAGGACTCGCGAGGGATCAAGCCTGATCAATATACCTGTGAATGTTTGGGGTAAAACGCCCCGCAGCTCAATCCATAACGGCCTCACATGGTCAGGGCTGATCAACAGTTTGTTAGTGCTGCTCGCACGTAAACCGACGTATGAACACAGCCGGCGGGTGAGGTACTGACTTAGGTGCCTGTCCAGCTCTTTTGAGACAGCCAGGGGTTTTGAAGAGAGCAGGGGTCTTGACAGTCAGGGTCTATGAAGGACGCCAGAGGTCTTGAAGCAGACAGGGGTTTTGAAGACCAGCCAGGGGTTTTGAAGACAGCCAGAGGTCTTGAGACAGCCAGTGGTCTTGAGACAGCCATGAGGTCTGAAGACAGCAGGGGTCTTGAAGACAGCAAAGAGGTCTTGAGCAGCCAGAGGTTTGAGGAAGCGTGGTCTTAAAGACAGTCAGTGGTCTTAAAGGGACAGCCAGAGTCTTGAAGACGCAGGGGTCTTGAAGACAGCCGGTCTTGAAGAAGCAGTGGTCTATGAAACAGCCGAGGTCTTGAAGTCGCAGGGGTCTTGAAGACGCAGTGGTCTTGAAGACAGCAGGGTCTGAAACAGCCAGTGGTTTGATAGACAGCCGGGTCTGAACAGCCAGAGGTTGAGACGCCAGTGGTCTTGAAGCAGCCGGCGTCTTGAAGACGCCAGAGTCTGAGACAGCCGAGGTCATGAGCCCAGCCAGTGGTCTGAAGACAGCCAGTGGTCTTAAGACAGCAGAGGTCTTGAAGACAGCAGGGGTCTTGAAGACAGCCAGGGTCTTGAAAGAAGCCACAGGTCTTGAAGCAGCCAGTGGTCTGAGACAGCCAGGGGCTTTGTGACACCAGAGTCTTGAGACAGCCAGGGTCTTGAGGACAGCCAGTGGTCTTGAAGACAGCCAGGGTCTTGAAGACAGCCAAAGTCTTGAAACAGCCAGGGTTTGAAGACAGCAGAGGTCTTGAAGACAGCCAGTGGTCTTGAAGACAGCAGAGTCTGAATCGCAGAGTTTCTTGAACAGCCAGTGGTTTTAAGACAGCAGTGGTCTTGAAGTCAGCAGGGGTCTTGAAGACAGCCAGTGGTCTTGAAGTCAGCAGGGTCTGAAGACAGCAGTGGTCTGAGCCCAAAGCCAGTGGCTTGAAGTCAGCCAGGGGTCTTGAGGACAGCCAGGGGTCTTAAGACAGCCAGTGGTTTGAAGACAGCCAGTGGTACTGAAGTCACCCAGGGTTTGAGCCCAGCCAGTGGTCTTGAACGCCAGGGGTCTTGAGACAGCATGGTCTGAAGACAGCAGTGGTCTTGAAGTACAGGGGTCTTAAAGACTGCAGTGGTCTTGAATGACAGCCGGGTTTGAGACAGCAGTTGGTCTTGAAGACATGCCATGGTCTTGAAGTCAGCCAGGGGTCTTGAAGACAGCGTGGTCTTGAACAGCAGGGGTCTTGAAGACACAGTGGTCTTGAAGACAGTCAGGGTCTTGAAGAAGCCAGAGGTCTTAGGACTTCACAGTGGTCTTGAAGACAGCCAGTGGTCTTGAGACAGCCAGAGGAAATTTGAAACACCAGAGGTCTTGAGGACAGCCAGCTGTCTTGAAGACAGCCAGTGGTCTTGAAGAACAGCCAGAGGTCTTGAAGACCCAGGGGTCTTGAAGACATGAGGTTTGAAGACAGCCAGTGGTCTTGAGACAGCCAGAGGTTTTGAAGACAGCCAGTGGTCTTGAAGACAGCCAGTGGTCTTGAGTCAGCAGGGTCTTGAGACAGCCCTGTGGTCTTGAAGCCAGCCAGGGTCTTTGAGACAGCCTGGTCTTGAAGACATGCCAGTGGTCTTGAAGTCAGCCAGGGTCTTGAAGACAGCCAGTGGTCTTAACCCAGGGGTCTGAAGACAACAGAGGTCTTGAGACAGCCATGGTCTTAAGACAGCCAGTGGTCTTGAAGTCAGCAGGGGTCTGAAGACAGCCGTGGTCTTGAAGACAGCCAGGGGTTGAGGACAGCCATAGGTCTTGGACCAGCCAGTGGTCTTGAAGACAGCCAGTGGTCTTGAAGACAGCCAGAGGTCTTGAAGACAGCCAGGGGTCTTGAAGACAGCCAGAGGTCTTGAAGACAGCCAGTGGTTTTGAAGACAGCCAGAGGTCTTGAAGACAGCCAGTGGTCTTGAAGACAGCCAGTGGTCTTGAAGTCAGCCAGGGGTCTTGAAGACAGCCAGTGGTCTTGAAGTCAGCCAGGGGTCTTGAAGACAGCCAGTGGTCTTGAAGACAGCCAGTGGTCTTGAAGTCAGCCAGGGGTCTTGAAGACAGCCAGGGGTCTTGAAGACAGCCAGTGGTCTTGAAGACAGCCAGTGGTCTGAAGTCAGCAGGTCTTGAAGACAGCCAGTGGTCTTGAAGACAGCCAGGGGTCTTGAAGACAGCCAGAGGTCTTGAAGACAGCCAGTGGTCTTGAAGACAGCCAGAGGTCTTGAAGTCAGCCAGGGGTCTTGAAGACAGCCAGGGGTCTTGAAGACAGCCAGGGGTCTTGAAGTCAGCCAGGGGTCTTGAAGACAGCCAGTGGTCTTGAAGACAGCCAGGGGTCTTGAAGACAGCCAGTGGTCTTGAAGACAGCCAGTGGTCTTGAAGACAGCCAGTGGTCTTGAAGACAGCCAGGGGTCTGTTGGTAATCCCCCTTATGTATACTTTACGAAATAAAAAAAAATGATTCGTGACAGGTTCCTGGAATTCATGAAGGAGATCACGATGGATGAAGACATCACCGAACACATGGACATCGCTTACAGCGCTGAGAGAGCCATACAAGATGAGTTGGTGAGGGAGAGTGTGAACGATGCCCTCACTATCTTCATCAGTTACCTCCTCATGTTCATCTACATCACTCTCTCCCTGGGGAACATGTCCTCCGAGTGTCGCAGGATCTTGGTTAGTTCACTAAAATCTAGTGAAAAAGAGAGATAAGTGCAGTTTGAAGCGATGCTTTACTGACAGCGTTTCGCCCACACTTTGTCGGCGAAACGTGGTCAATAAAGCTTCGCATTACACCGCGTTTTTTTTTTTTTCATCGTGTCAGTATTTTATACTATTTGCCTTCAATAAAATCAGTAAGTTTAGGCAGTTTTACTCTAGTGCTTAGAAATTTATCGTATACATTATTATTATTATTACTATATTTCAGGAGAAATACTTAATCCTCAGTGTCATAGATCACCTAAATAATGGGAAGCAATTATGTTTGATTCAAGGAATGGGAAGGGATTGGGGGGGGGGGGTAACTCGAATTTCTTTGATCAAGATCCTTTATATTTTCCAGCATTTCTTCTTGCATACTCACTGGGATGAAGTTCCTTCAAGGAAGGAAGGTGTTTGGTGTGGGTGGGGAGGGGAGGTTGCCTTGACGTCAAAGAATTCTTCTTGATCTAAGAAATTGGGGCACCCCTACGGGCGTAACGCTGCCACATGACTATTAATAATAATAATAATAATTATTATTATTATTACTAGAGAAGCACTAGAGAGGCTGGGATGCTTATGCATACATCTGCTTGATTTCTTGGATGGTTATCTCTATACGCTTCGTGTCCACCCCTCTATCCTTTGATCGAATCTGATTACCTTCCATGCTCTCCCTCCAGGCGCTGTCTGGCCCCTGAAGGCTTAGCGCTTCCGCTCAACGTATTAACAATAACAGTGATTTTGGTGTTCAACAGATCGAGAGTAAGATGACTCTGGCGCTGGGCGGAGTTATTCTTGTCCTTCTCTCCGTGGTGGCCTCCCTCGGCTTCTACGGTTACGTGGGCGTTCCTGCCACACTCTTTGTTATTGAGGTGAGTCGAAGTGTCTGTCACGGTGAGCGGGTGAGATGGAGGGTAGGTGAAGGGGCAGGCAGGTGAGATTTAAGGTAGGTGAAGGGGCAGGCAGGTGAGGGGTCGGGCAGGTGTATACAATCTGTCGTTTAATAATACAACGTAGAAATAAGAGTTTGGTATTAATAAGGGATCATATAATATTCTAAATAATCACTGATAAGGAATGACCGTAAATTTGAAATGGTTATTCAAACACACACACACACACACACACACACACAGTGGCTGTTTCGGACCTAGTAGGACTGAAGAAGTCACTCGTGGCGAAACGTTTCCTTTAATAAATGTGCTGAGTTACATTAGTGTGTTTATCCACGGCTTGTTGGCATAACCATATTTTTTTACAAGAAGACCTCTGCTGCAGTGGCCCAAGTAACACGTAAAAGAATAAGAGTCACAATATGGTGGCTGGAATAATTGTCAGTTTGTGATGGAAATGATTTAGAAAAGCGACAAGTTAAGAATGAGACACTTGTGTAAAAGTTCCACCGTTTTTCTCTGTATTGGACTACGGAAGCAAGTGGCTGGTGGAACGTTTCCTCAATAAAGATTCCGAAATGTTGAGCAAGTGCCTCATTCTTCAATTGCCAGTTTATTCACTAATTGGAGATAAATCCTTATTCGAAGTTTCTATCGATCCTGGATCAAGTAACGATTTGGAAATTGTCCAGGATGGACCGAAACTTCGTCTTGAGAATTATCTCCAAGCGTGCGAATCGGCAGTAAACTGTGAGGCAAGACGAACAGTCTTAGTTTACAGGTGATCCCGTTCCTGGTGCTGGCTGTGGGCGTAGACAACATCTTCATCCTAGTGCAGACTTGGCAGAGACAGCCCCGCGAGCCTGGGGAGACCATCGAGGATCACATCGGCAGAGTTGTAGCCGAGGTGGCTCCCTCCATGCTCCTCTCCACCTCCGCTGAGGCCCTCTGCTTCTTCTTGGGTGAGTTAGTCACCTTGGTTGAGTGGAGAGTCAGATAAGTGTAAATGTTGATTGTTCTCAGTAAGTGTTAGTCGTGCGAAATTCTGTAATTTCGAAGGATTCTTCAACTATCTTCAGAATCTAAAATTGGTCTAATTTCTGCGCGCTGAAAATTTCAAAGGCAAATAAAATATAATAACAATAATAATACTACTGCTACTACTACTACTGATAATAATAATAATAATAATAATAATAATAATAATAATAATAATAATAATAATAATAATAATAATAATAATAACGCATCACCAGGAGCATTGCTAATAGTTCTTCCAGAGAATTTAATGAATTGCTTGTGTCAGGTGGTCTGTCTGACATGCCTGCTGTGTATGCCTTCGCTCTCTACGCCGCCCTGGCCCTGGTCATAGACTTCTTCCTCCAGATGACCTGCTTTGTGGCTCTCATGTCCCTCGATGCCCACCGAGTTAAGGTGAGACCTAATCCGGGGGGGGGGTCAATGGGCTAATCCGGGGGGATGTGGGACATGACCTGCTGCGCATGGGTCAGTAGGCTTGTTGCAGTGTTCCTTCTTTCTTATGTTCTTAGTCATGTTGAATAAGACTCGTGCATTTAGTAGAGTATATCTCACGCAGTTAAGACGAGGCCAGATAACGGAACGGCCAGGTCATTTAGCTTCATGGTGTACTTCTTTCCTCTCCCATCTTTAATACCAGAAAGATGATTTATGTCTTAGCTCACATGAAAATATTAATTATCTAGCTAAATGAATTTATAAGTTATTTTTTGACATTATCACTTATTTTGTATTTTTTGGTACTGTCACGATACGTCAGAATGATGAAAAAAAATTAACTCACTCCTTTGAACAAAATGAACCTTGGTCTGGTCTTAACAATTTCTGTTTCTGTATGAATAAATTACTGTTCTCCAGAAGATGCAGTATAGGCCGAATAAATAGGCCCTGTTTGAAGATTTTTTTTTTATTTTTATTTTAAGAACATGGTACTTTGGTTAAATATCACGATCTATAATTGAAGATATATATCTTATAAGATGTATCACAGGCTAAATATGTGATGCAGGTTTGAGGATTAGTTTATTATGAAATGTACACAGGTTGAATACCTTAAATCGAGGGACATGTTGTCTCTCTCGTAAGATGCTAAGTATATCTCTCTCTTCTTGTATCTTGCGTGCCCAGGATAACCGCTGGGACGTGCTGTGTTGCGTGAAGGGAAGTAAGAAGTCAGGAGAGAGCAAAGAATCCAGTATATGTTATCAGATTTTCCAGCACGTATATGCTCCCTTCATTCTCAAGGTATGCTATTAGACCTTCCAGCACGTGTATGCTCCCTTCATTCTCAAGGTATGCTATTAGACCTTCCAGCACGTGTATGCTCCCTTCATTCTCAAGGTATGCTATTAGACCTTCCAGCACGTGTATGCTCCCTTCATACTCCAGGTATGCTATTAGACCTTCCAGCACGTGTATGCTCCCTTCATTCTCAAGGTATGCTATTAGACATTCCAGCACGTGTATGCTCCCTTCATACTCCAGGTATGCTATTAGACCTTCCAGCACGTGTACGCTCCCTTCATTCTCAAGGTATGCTATTAGACCTTCCAGCACGTTTATGCTCCCTTCATTCTCAAGGTATGCTATTAGACCTTCCAGCACGTGTATGCTCCCTTCATACTCTAGGTATGCTATTAGACCTTCCAGCACGTGTATGCTCCCTTCATACTCCAGGTATGCTATTAGACCTTCCAGCACGTGTATGCTCCCTTCATTCTCAAGGTATGATATTAGACCTTCCAGCACGTGTATGCTCCCTTCATACTCCAGGTATGCTATTAGACCTTCCAGCACGAGTACGCTCCCTTCATTCTCCAGGCCATGGCGTGCCTGTGTTTCCTGTCCTTCCTGCTGTCCAGCAAGCCTCCCAGGGTGCACAGTAATAATATTGAATATAATAGTCATCATGGTAAAGTATATAATAATAATAATAATTATAATAAAAAAGAAGCGCTTAACTTATAAGAGTCAATAATATAATAATAATAATAAAGGCAATAATGACAATAATAATAATCAGTGTGTACAAGTTGTCATATCACAGATTAATGACAATCATTCTTGTCATATTTATTAACCTTCTAATAAGTTACCTTCATAAGTAATAACACGTGTTTACCTTTTGCCAAGGATGGGGACAAGAGCAGTGTTAGAGTACAATGAATGCTACTGTGTCTCTCTCGCGATTAGAGTAAAGATGATTAAGTATCCAGTACATGAACCATACGTATATAGAGCTTCGCATAAATTCATTTTTTTATTGTTTTTATGTTTCTGTCTTGCAAGGACGTGGTGAGAGTGTTGATTTGCCTGCTTACCCTGGGTGTCTTCTGTGCTTCTGTCTCCGTGTCTCCGAAGTTGTCTGTAGGACTCGAACAAGAATTATCCATGCCACAGGACTCTTATGTTATCAAGTACTTCAAGGTGAGCTGGTTGAGGGAGACTGAGAAGAGTGAAGGGCTGAGGTAGAAGGAGAGGAAGCGGTGGAGAATGACTGGAGGATGGTGATGAATGTAAGTGAGAAAGGAAAGGAGGAAATGGAAGAGGTGATTATCGAATAATGACTTGATATTGGTCCAGAATGGATCGAAACATTATTTATTCATTTATCTCCAATGATTGGAGATAATCCTTAGACGATAAATACTTCCAGCCTCGGTATCTAGTTTTTATTCTTTCATAACCTATCTCTTGGGGGCGCTGAAGAAATCACAGCTCAATCGCTCTTTCCTCCCGGAACAGTACCTCAACGACTATCTCTCCGTCGGCCCTCCTGTCTACTTCGTGATGAAGGAAGGCTACAACTACAGCGACATCCACGAGCAGAACCTGGTGTGTCAGGTCTCCGGCTGCTACGAGGATTCCATAACACAGCAGATCTTTCTGTCCTCCCTTCAGCCTAATGAGTACGTTATCTGCCGCATCTAGTGGCTTTTACCATCTTTGAAAGATTCAATATACATATATAATATATATATATATATATATATATATATATATATATAATATATATATATATATATATATATATATATATATATAGTGTATTGATATTGTGTGTGTGTGTGTGTGTGTGTGTGTGTGTGTGTGGTTTAGAAAGACACGTAAGCAAACACTATGACATATTTATTAGAAAACGTTTCGGTCCTGGAACCTTGATCACTTCTAACATACAGAGGTAGAAAGACATTATATATATATAGGCGGAGAGTGAGGTGTGAGTGACGCACGTGACCTGAGGAATGTCATGTTGGGATGAGGACGGGTAGACGATGAAATCATGTGACTCCTGTGTTGTTGGGTTGGTGGTGCTTAAGTATCATGTATGCCAATGTTTTTGAAATTTTGTAGTTTCCAGTATTGCGTTCTATAGTGTCGGTGACCCCCCGGGCGAACGAGTTGTGGCCTTCAGTCACTAATGCCCTGTGTCCTCCACAGAGACTCCACGGGGCATTTGATGAACTGGAATGAGGCACAACTCGTTCTCACAGAACCAGACCTCAGACGCTGACGGTTCCTAGAAGCCTCACTAAATATATATATATATATATATATATATATATATATATATATATATATTATATATATTATATATAATATATATATATATATATATATATAATACGTCGTGCCGAATAGGTAAAACTTAAGATTTTGGCCTAAATAGCTGTGTATGCAGTAATTCCGCAAAAATCATTCTGAACCTAATGAAAAAAAATATATTCCATTCTGTTTATTATTAAATTACTGTAAACTTATCTAAAATATATTTCATTGCATTAGGCTAAATTAAATTGGTCTTGTTATAGTAAAGTTAGGCAAGTTTTCTAATGTTCTTTTGGTACAAAATTATTAATTTTTTACTAGGGCTTTCCTACATTCCGTACAATATTTACCTACTTCTCTAACAGAACCTACCTGGCGTCTGGGGCGATGTCATGGCTGGGGCAGTACCTCACCTGGTTGTATGACGGTCCCAACACAGGATTTTATTCAACAGCTTGTTGCAGACTCGACAGCAACGGAGAATTCATCAACAGTTCAGGTACTTCATCCTTTCAGGGAAGGTACTTCATGTCAGTAGAAGGACATTGTTCTAAGAAATGGAAGGTACCCTTCCCTTCCCTGGATTAAAACTGACTACCTTCCCTTCACAATGGTGCTGTATAGTGGGTAGCTTGTTTTCAGGTAGGGCCTTCGAAACCGGTTAAAGGTTAAACACTGGTAGGTGTGAACACTCTGAACCGACGGCCAGTCACTTCACATCATATATGCCGAGAGTTTACTTTAATCTACTACTTTAGGAGTTAAACTATTCTTGAATGATGTTGAACACGTTACATGCAACCTAAATGACTTTCGTGTAGTTGACAAGGTTTAAACCCCATTGCCGGCTAAGATCCAACTATGTGTGCAAAATGCAGATGTTGTTTTATCAACAGTGTTTATCTCGTTTACATATCCTTTTCCTCAGGATATGTATGTATGTATATGGCTATATACGTATTTATATATATAATGTACATTGTTATAACAAATGCACTCTTCTCATTAATCCAGCACAGTTAGACTTTGATGCCGTAGGAACCTGCCTTCAAAAAGATGACTTCGTGAACCAAAGGCCCAAACCTGAATTCTTCATGGAGTACCTGGAAGACTTTTTAATGGACAACCCTCACGGGATAGCGTGTTCTTCCGCCGGCCACCCAGCCTACGGTGGCGCTGTCGAGGTCCTGGACGATGGTAGTGAAACTTACGTAGGTGCTAACTACTTCATGACCTACCATAGCATCTTGAAGACCTCTAAAGATTTCACTCTAGCATTGGACTGGGCCTACAAACTCTCAGACTACATGACAGGTTACCTTCAACAGAGGTCCAACTACTCCAGTGATATTGAAATCATTCCTTACAGGTGTGTATGCGGTGGTGATATTCTGCATGTTTTGGTATGCATATGGTGATAGTCCTGGTATTTATGCACGGATGTGGTGATATTCTCTATGTGTAGGTACGCATGTGGTGATGTTCTAGATGGTTAGGTACGCCGCTGGTGAAATTCTGGGTAAATATTTAGATACGCATGTGGTGATTTTTTGAGTGCTCAAGTATACAGATGGTGACATTCTGGGTTTTAATGTTTCACATAAATGCGACTCATATTCCCAAGGAAATTTCGTGTTTTATAATCTTCCCCGTTCTACTTCAGCCTCCACCATCTTCCCCATCCTCCCACAGCCTCCACCATCTTCCACATCCTCTCACAGCCTCCACCATCTTCCACATCCTCTCACAGCTTCCACCATCTTTCACTTCCTCCCACAGCCTCCACCATCTCCTTCAGCGTCTTACACTTCCCCTAACAGCCTCCTTCATCTCCTTCAGCATCTCCCACTTTCTTTTACAGTATCTTCTACGTGTACTATGAACAGTACCTGACGATGTGGGCTGACGCAGGAACGAGTCTTGGCATCTCAGTGGGCGCCGTCTTCGCTGTCACCTTCGCCCTCACTTTGGACCTCATCTCCTCCCTTATCATCCTAGTCACCATCAGTATGATCATCGTCGACATGATGGGCATGATGTACTGGTGGAACATCTCCCTCAATGCTGTCTCATTGGTCAACCTCGTCATGGTCAGTACGCTCATCCATTTGTCCGATAACCAAAATGTTCAATGAATAAATCTATCAAGTGGTCAAAATGTCCATTAACCAAAAGGTCAAATTGCCGAATTGCCTAGTGTCAAAAAAAGGCTGAATGCCCAAAAATGTCCAAAGTTAAAAGACTCCTCTGTCATCCTGACAGGCGATTGGCATTTCAGTGGAGTTCTGCAGCCACGTTACTCATGCCTTCGCCACTTCCGTCAAGATAACGAGGGTGGAGCGTGCTAGAGAAGCTCTCGCTAATATGGGATCCTCGGTACGTGATACAATCCTCTGTTAAAGGGAGTTTGTTTCCTTGCGTAATGAGACATGTTCGTATGGCATGTGCGATGAGAAATGTCCGTAAGTCGTGTGTGTGTGGTGCTATACCATCGCTCTAGCGTGATTCACAAACTTCTACTCCCCTCTTTTTCCCATTCTTCACCATTATTACTTCTAGGTATTGATCGATCCCCTTCATCACCCCTCAATATTTCCTGCTTCTTCCCCGAGAGTTACTCTTTCACGTCCGTAACTGCTTCTACTAAACTATACACAAATAACCCGCACATAAAAGAGAGAAGCTTACGACGACGTTTCGGTCCGACTTGGACCATTTACAAAGTCACACTTTGTAAATGGTCCAAGTCGGACCGAAACGTCGTCGTTTCTCTCTTTTATGTACGGGTTATTTGTGTATCGTTCCAGTCACGGTATTGTGCCTTTTTTTGTTATTCTACTAAACTATCCTAATCTCGGTTATCTAGACAGAATTAGAGCTAGCTAGGATGGAGTTAGCTCTCGGCAGATAGTCTCGATTTAGATGGAGAGCTTTTTCCCATGTTCTCTCTCTCTCTCACCGTCTCACCTTCCCCAGGTACTCTCCGGCATCACACTCACCAAGTTCGTAGGGATCGTCGTGTTGGGATTCGCACAGTCACAGATCTTCCGTGTCTTTTACTTCAGGATGTACCTCGGGATGGTTCTCTTCGGCGCCTACCACGGCCTCGTCTTCCTTCCCGTGTTGCTCTCCCTCTGTGGTAAGTGGAGAGAAACAGAGAGAGAGAGAGAAGAGAGAGAGAGAGAGAGAGAGAGAGAGAGAGAGAGAAGAGAGAGAGAAGAGGAGAGAGAGAGAGAAAGAGAGAGAGAAAGAAAAGAGAGAAAGAGAGAGAGAGAAGAGAAGAGAGAGAGAGAGAGAGAGAGAGAGAGAGAGAGAGAGAGAGAGATGAGAGAGAGAGAGAGAGAGAGAGAGAGAGAGAGAGAGAGAGAGAGAGACAGAGACAGAGAGAGAGAGAGAGAGAGCGTGTGTGTACTCACCTATTTGTACTCACCTATTTGTGGTTGCAGGGTTCGAGTCTTAGCTCCTGGCCCCGCCTCTTCACCGGTTGCTACTGGGCCCTCTCTCTCCCCGCTCCATGAGCTTTATCAAACCTCGTATTAAAACTGTGTATGGTTCCTGCCTCCACTACGTCATTTTCTAGGCTATTCCACTGCCTGACAACTCTATGACTGAAGAAATACTTCCAAATATCTCTCTGACTCATTTGTGTCTTCAACTTCCAATTGTGGCCTCTTGTTTCTGTGTCCCCTCCCTGGAACATCCTGTCTTTGTCCACCTTGTCTATTCCACGCAGAATTTTATATGTCGTTTTTCATGTCTCCCCTGACCCTCCTGTCCTCCAGTGTTGTCAGGCCGATTTCCCTTAATCTTTCTTCATAGGACATTCCCCTTAGCTCTGGAACTAACCTTGTCGCAAACCTTTGTACTTTCTCTAGTTTCTTGACGTGCTTTATCAAGTGCGGGTTCCAAACAGGTGCTGCATACTCCAGTATGGGCCTGACATACACGGTGTACAGTGTCTTGAACGATTCCTTGCTAAGGTATCGGAATGCTGTTCTCAGGTTTGCCAGGCGCCCATATGCTGCAGCAATTATCTGATTGATGTGTGCTTCCGGAGACATGCTCGGTGTTATACTCACCCCAAGATTTTTCTCCTTGAGTGAGGTTTGCAGTCTTTGACCACCTAGCCTATACTCTGTCTGTGGTCTTCTGTGCCCTTCCCCTATCTTCATGACTTTGCATTTGGCATGATTAAATTCGAGAAGCCATTTGCTGGACCAGGTGTCCAGTCTGTCCAGGTCTCTTTGAAGTCCTGCCTGGTCCTCATCAGATTTAATTCTCCTCATTAACTTCACATCATCTGCAAACAGGGACACTTCTGAGTCTAACCCTTCCATCATGTCGTTCACATATACCAAAAATAGCACTGGTCCTAGGACCGACCCCTGTGGGACCCCGCTCGTCACAGGTGCCCACTGTGATACATCATTACGTACCATGACTCGTTGTTGCCTCCCTGTCAGGTATTCTCTGATCCATTGCAGTGCCCTTCCTGTTATATGCGCCTGATGCTCTAGCTTCTGCACTAATCTCTTGTGAGGAACTGTGTCAAAGGCCTTCTTGCAGTCCAAGAAGATGCAATCAACCCACCCCTCTCTCTCGTGTCTTACTTCTGTTATTTTATCATAAAACTCCAGAAGGTTTGTGACACAGGATTTGCCTTCCATGAATCCGTGCTGGTTGGCATTTATACTCTTGTTCCATTCCAGGTGCTCCACCACTCTCCTCCTGATAATCTTCTCCATAACTTTCCATACTATACACGTCAATGACACAGGTCTATAGTTTAGTGCCTCTTTTCTGTCTCCTTTTTTAAAAATGGGAACTACATTTGACGTCTTCCATACCTCAGGTAGTTGCCCAGTTTCCAGGGACGTGTTGAAGATTGTGGTAAGTGGCACGCACAACATATCTGCTCCCTCTCTAAGGATCCATGGGGAGATGTTGTCCGGTCCCATTGCCTTTGAGGTATCGATGTCCCTTAGCAGTTTCTTCACCTCCTCCTCATCTGTATGTCGTCCAACACTTGTTGGTGTATTCCTTGCTGGTGTCCCCATCTGGTCTGTCCCCCCAGAGTCCTTCCTGTCTCTACTGTAAATACTTCCTTAAATCTCGTGTTGAGCTCCTCACATACCTCTTGGTCGTTTCTTGTGAGTTCTCCACCTTCTTTCCTCAGCCTTATCACCTGGTCCTTGACTGTTGTCTTCCTCCTAATGTGGCTATACAGCAGTGGCTATACAATCAGATTTGACTTTCGATGCTATGTCGTTTTCATACTGTCGCTGGGCCTCCCTCCTTATCTGTGCATACTCGTTTCTGGCTCTTCTACTAATCTCCTTGTTTTCCTGGGTCCTATGCCTCCTGTACCTTTTCCATTCTCTGTTGCACTTAGTTTTTGCCTCCCTACACCTTCGGGTAAACCAAGGACTCGTTTTGGTCTTCCTATTATTTCTGTTTCCCTTGGGAACAAACCTTTCCTCTGCCTCCTTGCACTTTGTTGCCACATATTCCATGTGTGTGTGTGCGTGTGCGTGCGTGTGTGTGTGTGTGTATGTGTGGTATGTGTGTATGTGTGTGTGTGTGTGTGTGTTGTGTGTGTGTGTGTGTGTGTGTGTGTGTGTGTGTGTGTGTGTGTGTGTGTGTGCGTGTGGTGTGTGTACTCACCTAGTTGTGGTTGTAGTGGTTGATTCATAGCTCCTGGCCCCGCCTCTTCACTGGTCGCTACTGGTTCACTCTCCCTGAACCATGAGCTTTATCATACCTCTGCTTAAAGCTATGTATGGATCCTGCCTCCACTACATCGCTTCCCAAACTATTTCACTTCCTGACTACTCTGTGACTGAAGAAATACTTCCTAACACACCTGTGATTCATCTGTGTCTTCAACTTCCAACTGTGTTCCCTTGTTGCTGTGTCCCATCTCTGGAACATCCTGTCTTTGTCCACCTTGTCAATTCCTCTCAGTATTTTATATGTCGTTTTCATGTTCCCCTATCTCTCCTGTCCTCCAGTGTCGTCAGGTCGATTTCCCTTAACCTCTCCTCGTAGGACATACCCCTTAGCTCTGGGGCTAGTCTTGTTGCAAACCTTTGCACTTTCTCTATTTTCTTTATGTGCATGGCTAGGTGTGGGTTCCAAACCGGTGCTGCATACTCCAATATGGGCCTAACGTACACAATGTACAGGGTCCTGAACGATTCCTTGTTAAGATGTCGGAATGCTGTTTTTAGGTTTGCTAGGCGCCCATATGCTGCAGTAGTTATTTGGTTGATGTGAGCCTCAGGAGATGTGCCTGGTGTTATACTCACCCCAAGATCTTTTTCCTTGAGTGAAGTTTGTAGTCTCTGGCCCCCTAGACTGTACTCCATCTGTGTGTGTGTGCGTATGTGTGTGTGTGTGTGTCTACATGCGCGCTCACATATGTGAGAGTCCAGTTTTGACATCAAAGCAATGAAGGTGGCTGAGAAACAAGGTAGCGGGGTTAATTCCAGCAGCGTTTGGACCTACAACATTTACCAGTGAGCGATGAAAAAGAATATAATCCAGCTATGAAACCCGTCTCTAAAATGTTCCATTCTCACACTTGCAGGTCCAGGAGTGAACAGGAAGCTACTGAGGGGCAAGAAGAAGGAACTCAAAGAGATGCCACAGAAGCCAGCTAAACCAGGAACCTCTGGTGGAGCGGTCAACCTGAGCTACATTACTGATAAGGAAGCCATTAAACAGAGTAGCCCCTCTCAGGCAAATACCCGGGAACCCAGAACCACAGTAAACGTGCATATATATAACTGAATCACAAGGGCACAGAGGAGTATTATTTTTATATTCACGGGCAAGTGTTATACATGTTAAGAGTCATAGCAGCGCCTTGGAAATAGGAAGTAGTTTTGATCAGTGGAAGGGAAGCATAGCTCAGTTTTTTTTGGATGTAAAGCCCTTTGGTAAATGATATTTTTGATCAGTCTTATGTGTCGAAAACTGAGGTCTAAGAGTTGCCTAGTTGATGACAAGGACCTCGCCACCATTCATAATGTAAAGAAGGAACCAGCCAGGAAAATAAATACACTGCATGTCTCCTGAAGGTGAGGTAGAAGAAAAAGAAGGAGAAAAAGAAAGAAAGAAGAAGCAGTAGCAGACATGAAACTGCGAAAATGAGTTTCTGAATCTGGAAACTTTTTTTTTTTTCACCTTGGCGTATTGGATTCAATGTACTTGATAAATCTTTTAACGATTCTCTTCATATGGCACAAAAAATAATAATGTAGATCTTTTAGTTCTGACAACTGTGGTTTGGATGATACAATATCCCTGCAGAGTGTCTCTACACCCAATTTTAAGAATAAATTTAAGACAAACCAAAAATATATGAAATCTTTTCACTTTTATCTTTCCTAGCGGTCTACGTAATATTATTATCAGGCAGAATAAAGATTCTAACTTATATTGTTACTTTTGTTTTCAATTTCGAAAAAATTAACACAGCTTATTCTTTAATTTTTAACTTTGAGATCAATAAAATCAGAACAGCTGTAACACAGGAGCACTCTAATGGGTAGGGTTATAACCATAATTTTTAAAGTGGTGGAAGGTAAGCCAGTGGAAGGTCTCGGTCAAATGACCAAAAGTTCCAACTGCGGGTCATCATATGACTAAGACCCGCGTCAGGAAACACTTGTCCTGTTTCCTGACAAACCTTACCTAACCTAAACCTAGCTGTACACTAACTTACAATGGATTCCGGGACACTTAACACTTGCATACACACTTAAGAGTAACATGTAGACAGAGCTGAAAGACCCGTACGAGTTTAGCTGATTTTTAATGCGATAACTGGGCAAATATTCTAATAGTGGGATGGATTGTGAAGGACCTGCCTAGTATGGGCTAATAGGCCTACTGCAGTGATCCTCCTTTCTAATGTTCTTAATTATAATTTTATGTGATAAACCAGCTTAGCTTTAGTCATTCTAATATTCAGCTGGCAGCTGGTGTAATTATTGCGTTGGGGTTGCCCAAGCGATCTCTAGCTCTCAGTCCCATCTATTTGTAATTGTTTAACCTCGTTTATTGATGGTTATTACTGGGATCATCGTCTCTAATATTTATAATGAAATTTCCGAGGCTAATTTAATACTTAACGGTTTCTAAGTGTCTCATTTATCAACTTGTCGGTTTTTAAACCATTTTTGCAAAATTATGAATTGCAAACATTAAACTTATAATAAACTTAAAAACTGTTCATATAATGAGCTTCAAACGACGTCAAAGTTCATTATAAATTTACATTATTAAGCTTATAATGAACTGGTAGTCACGTCAGAATTCATTATAAATTACTATTAAGCTTATAATGACCTCGAAGCCTCGTCAAAAGACAACACGAATCTCTGAGAATCAAAAGAGGTGAAAATTGATGACAAACATCTATTAGGCAGTGACAAACAATAATAATATTATCAGAATTACCGACAAAATGTTCGGTAAATGGACACAGGTGCAACTAGTGTGAGAGATGTCACATTAGTTGCCTCCGTGTCCTCTCACCTGACGATGACAAACACTGGATCATGATGGCTGCCTTCGTCTGGAAGGACGGCGAGGGAGCAAGAGACGGCCAATGTGCTTTCTTCTTCTTCGTATTTTTTTTTATATTTTATTTAACATTCAGGTACAAAATATATATGATTGCATCAATTAATATGTCAACGAGATACTAGGCACTAACAAGATTATCATTGTATAAGAAATAATAAAATCAAAACACTGGAAAATATAAAGACTATACAAAAACAATGTGACAAAAAAAAGCACACAAAATGACACATATACAAGCAATCACGTATTATACAACATGATACTACATCTGGCATATAACTAGGCGTGGCTTCCGCCTGCCAACACACAACGTATCCAAGACTTAATCTAAGAACTCAGGTGCCTAAAGGAGCATAACAATACGTTAATTTGGGCGACTACCACGGGGTTATTATCATTGACTAAGAATAGGCATTTACAGTGCAAAGGTGGAAACAAGATGACACTACAATTCACAAAAATGAAAATATAATAATAAAACAAAACGAAACTGCACTGTGATATTTGACATCTCAAATAAACACAAGAAAAGACAATACAAGCAGCTACAAGTGAACTTATACACTGACGAGAGGCAAACATTGAAAAATACTGCCTCCACATATAGTTCAAGTTCCATCACAGCTTACAGAAAAACAAACACTTGCATAGATACATATACTATTGAAAAGCACACGAACACGGCATAAAGTATAAACGGAAATAAGAAAACGTTCAACTGTGCTAGGAAGCACACCATATGCAAAATATACACCAATGACTTATTGAGGCCTAAATGACGGAAAACATTCCTAAAAGCTGTATATACAAAGGCTTAAGATATATCGTCGTCACCGTCACATAGGAGACGCACATAAACACGGAGAACACAAAACATTCACGCACTTGACATACACAATTAGACACAGCTGACCAGCCCGTTAGATTACCCACTGAACACCCATAACTATCTCAAATCTCGTAACTCCAAGGCTTTATATTCAGACGGGAAGTCTCTTTCCCATCTCCCCTCATATACCAACCTGTTTCGACATTTTGTCCTATATATTGTCCCCGCTAAAACCCTAATTCTACTGTTACCATCAACGTGCCTCATAGCCCATGACACGAAAATATAATCGGCCACTACGTAAGACACCGCACGTTGTACATGCAAGTCAACCCCACCTACATCAAAACTCAACGCTCGGAGCACCGACAAACCTCCCCCCCCCACCCCACCAAACGCAAAACCCTACTAAACCACTCTCGTTCCATACCTAAAGTCTCACAGAATACACAACGTGAAAAGCAGATTCCTCCATCCCGCACGCCGGACAACCCCAGTCTTCCTCCAAACGCCTATTATACAACACCACCCCGGACGGCAAGATTCCATGTAAAAATTTAAAAACCACTTCCCGTACTTGAGCAGGCAGACGCAACTGTTGAACTCGCCTCCATATATCACCCCACGCATACATGGGATACAATCCTTCAACTCGCACCACGACTCTCTCCATACCCGCCCTTTCTAAGGTACATAATTTTACACAGCGCACTTCCCTCATGCGCAATAATCCGCGGAGCATCGTGTCGCACCTAATTAAATTCCTCCCTCCCCACCACCTGCGCAAGTCGTTATACAATTCGCTTAACCCACCATGCATCCCACCCAGTCGGAGAAAACGACGCTTCACGCTTCAAGTAACATGCCATGGCACGAGCCTCTAGAGGAATGAGACCCAACCCTCCCTGATGCACTGGTGTCTCCACCACCGCTCTTGTGAGCCAATCACAACCTGAACCCCACAAAAATCGATAAACTCTATGCAAAAGACGTTTGACGTCCCCCTGCAACAGAGGATACAGTGCAGCAACATGCCATACTTTGCTATAAATCAGGACATTAATGACCACCGCCCTCTGATGCAGGGTTAAATGTTGCTGCCGTAGACTATTAAGCGTCCCAAGACACTATGTACAACCCCTCCCGAATTACATGCCCTCATCTGATCGACCTCCTGCATATAATGAACACCACATATAGTGATACAATCAACCACAGTCCACCCCTCTGCATCCGCCCCATCCCCCACCCACTCCCCCAACTCTAGAATCTTCGATTTTTCTCTATTAACTCACATCCCCGTAGCCTTGCCAAATATGTCAACAAGTCTCCCAACGAAACCCAATTGCTCTCGTGAACGTAATAACACAGTAGTATCATCTACATAACCCACAAGGGTCGGTCGACCACTACTCGGACCCCACGATGTCTCTACTCCCCGTGCACAAACAGCCCAGTAAAAAGGGTCCTGCATACATGCAAAAAGCATTTGAGACATGGGGCATCCCTGACGAATGCCCCTGCTCAAGTGTACAAAAACACCTAACTTCCCATTAACGTGTACTTTAAATCCCGCTCCATTGTACAATGAACGGGCCCACATGATGATCTCATTTCCAAAACCCTGCCATCTCATAAATTTCCACAGAACCTCTCTTTCCACACTATCAAAAGCAGCTCGCCAGTCTAAAGCCAAAACCCCACCCCCACCCCTCACCCCGCATTCCTCAACAAACTCCCTGATATTCCCATGACCATCATACATTGACCTACCTGGCACACCAAACTGACTCTTATGGATTACCTTATCAAACACTTTCTTAATTCTATTCATCAAAATTTTCGCATATAGTTTATAGTCACTACACATCAACGATATGGGACGGTAGTCCTTAATCGCTAACGGTACATCACATTTCCTAACTAAGACCAAACACTGCTGTACGCTGAGACAGACCTAACACCCCCGCCTCCTTCATCGCATTGAGTAAACGAACCATAAAAGTCCGTATTACCTCCCAATGTTTGATATAAAATTCACAAGGGATGCCATCAATGCCTGGTGCCTTCCCCTTACTCATTCCTTGCAGTGCCTCCCACACCTCTGCTTCAGATATAGGCCCACCCATGAGAAGGCGATCATAATCATTTAACTCGCAATGTACTCCTCTCCCCAATTCCTGTATTGCATGCTCACTCACATCTTTACTCTGCATCTGGAGCTTACTCCAAGTATCAACATAAAAACTTATCCCCTCAGTTGTTGTTAAGACCTGTCCCTCACTATACCCATCAACTTCATCCTGTACCGCTAAACTCACAATGTCAGTCGCCTTTCGTCTTTGTGTCTGACTTCGTAAGACACAAGCAGACGGTTTGTCACCCCACAAAGCCTCTTCCACCCCACTCGAAATGCGCACCCCATCGAAAATCTTATTTTTCAATACCTGGATTTGTTCTTTAAGAGCATCAATCTCATCCACTGGGTAAACCCAAGATGCCTCTCCCTGCGCATAACATTGTTGTAGTTGACTCTCCAGATACCTCAGAAAACCATACTCCATGCGAGTGGCCTCCTTACCCCGATGCACATAAAAATCCTTAATTCGAGGCTTCACAACCTCATCCCACCTTCACACTAAATCCCACCCCTCCCAAGAGTCTACTCCCATAGACGCCCATAAGTCCGCGAATAGTTCCCAATCATCTGCACTTTGTAACATCCGCGTATTCAATTTCCAGTACCCCTTAAAACGATTCGGGAGACCCCCCCCCCCCAGTCGAGCTCTACAAAAACTCCCCGTGGTCAGAGAAAAAGACATTCAACACACGCACATTGATTACGACCACCTGCCGAGACACATACACCCTATCTAAACATGCCGCATAGCCCCTACGTACAAAAGTATGCTCAATCTCCAAGTCACGTCCTCTGCGTAC